CCTAGGCAGGAACCCTCGGAGCCAGCAACTGAATCTTGCAAGGTCCCTGTGATGTTAGGCCCATTGCTCTTCCCACTGCAGAATGTCGCCTCTAGATTAATGCCACCAATTCAGGAACATCTCTGACAGTTTTGAAGTACTCACAACTCCCCTTGTTTGTTTCCTTCTGGCTTCTTCCATCATAGTCTCTTCATTTGAAGCTCTGTAGGCCAAGGCCAGAGCTGATACCAACAAGGAGCCAATGCAGATGGCACATCAGATGCTCGGGTCACTGGGAGGATTAAGGCACTGTGCCCTGGCTGCTAGGAACACCTGTACTTGAAGTGGAGGAGGTTAGGGTGCCACAGTTACTGCTTTATTAACAGAGCTTTTGGATTTTTTTCTCTTGTGGTTTGTTTTTTAAGTGGATTGGCAGACTCCTTATTGCTTAGAGTGGCTTTTGAGGCAGGCCACCAGCATCTGAATTCATCATTGACAATAAATGTAAGATATTGGAATAAAAAAGAGAGACCTGCTCTTATTTGCTTTTGTTCTCCACTGGTTTGGTTAACTCAGGGCAAGGCTGAATATCAGGGTGTATCGCACTGAAGAAAACAATGCATACAGTAATGTTATAGGTATCCTTAATCTAAATATGTCAACTATATCATTTTCCTCCTTTTCAAATTAAATACTTGAAAACAGTCATTTAATGGTGAACATTTTCATCCTAAAGGGCAAATACAGGGGAGCTTAATGATAAACAGAGACCTCTGCTGATAATAAAAAAAAAACTAAGTATGACAGAATGAAGGGATGCTCAGAGTATTAATATTTGGTTGAAAAGTTACAGGAAGAGAGACAATACAGGCATAGTTCAGTGAACCTGAAGGGCTTATTGACCCCAGCAAGTAGCCCCTGCTGAAACAAGTCCACTTTGCACCTGTGATAGGTCTTGGTGGTTTAGGGTCAGAAATTCTTTTCAGTATTTGGATCACCTGAGGTGTTTGCTGAAACTCCAAGCTCTAGTCCTATCCCAAAGGAGTCAGATTCTGTAGCCCTTGAGTGGTACCCAGGAATCTGCATTTTTGGGCAAGCACCTCAAATGATTCTGCTATCTCTGACGCGAAGAGCCATATTAAAATGTTCATGGGCCTCAAGCACTTTTGCCATTGTGGGCCCCTTATTGAATAAAAATATTAAATATTATAATTTGCAATTGCATTGACATGAACACAAATGAAGTTGAGGTTGGATTATATATTTTGTTCTTGATTTTAAAAGAAACTAAAACATCTTTGTGGCCTCCTAAAAGCTTCCTGGGCCCTAGCCATTGTGTCTACTGCACCTAATAGATAAGGCAGCCTGCTGCTGCTCCCTTGATTCTGTGATGTTAGGTGGAAGGCTGAGCTTTTATTTTTTATTATTATTGTATTTTAAGGATGGAGGTTTTACTATGTTGCCCAAGCTGGGCTCAAGAAGTCCTCTTGCCTCGGCTGGGATTATAGGCACATTCTGCTAGGTTTGTATTCTTTAACTACCTTGGCTTCAGGAGAGAGGGTCCTTTTTTTTAAATTTTTCCTGAGACAGCGTTTCGCCCTTGTTGCCCAGGCTGGAGTGCAATGGCATGATCTTGGCTCACTGCAACCTCCATCTCCCAGGTTCAAGTGATTCTCCTGCCCCAGGCTTCCGAGTAGCTGGGACTGCATGCCTGTGCCACCATACCCAGCTAATTTTGTATTTTTAGTAAAGACAAGGTTTCACCATGTTGGCCAGGCTGGTCGCAAACTCCTGACCTCAGGTGATCTGCCTAACTTGGCCTCTCAAAGTGCTGGGATTACAGGCATGAACCACTGCGCCCTGCCAATGATTTCAGTCACTCAAGCAGGCTCACCTGTGAAATGCAGGATACAATGGGACCCTGCTACCACAGTGGCTGACAGCCCCCCTTTCACTCTCTTTTCTCACATCACTCTCTGCAGATAGCCAGAATCTCTTGCTACCTCATAATCTCTACGAAATCAGGAAATTATCCCCCATAATCCATTTCATACCATAGAAATCCATACATACCAATGTGTTAACTCTTCTCCTAGGTTTCAGCATGTCAAAGACTTAACTCTAGCTGAATTAAATGTTTTGTCTCAAAACACCTTGTAATCAATATTGTGAAAATGGCCATACTGCCCAAAGTAATTCACAGATTGAATGCTATCCCCATCAAGCTACCAATGACCTTCTTCATAGAACTGGAAAAAACCACCTTAAACTTCATATGGAACCAAAAGACAGCCTGCATAGCCAATTCTAAGCAAAAAGAACAAAGCTGGAGGCATCACACTACCAGACTTCAAAATATACTACAAGGCTACAGTAATCAAAACAGCATGGTACTGGTACCAAAACAGAGATATAGACCAATGGAACAGAACAGAGGCCTTGGAGGCAACACCACACATCTACAACCATCTGATATTTGAAACACCTGACAAAAGCAATGGGGAAAGGATTCCCTGTTTAATAAATGGTGCTGGGAAAACTGGCTAGCCATGTGCAGAAAGCAGAAACTGGACCTCTTTCTGACACCTTACACTAAAATTAACTCCAGATGGATTAAAGACTTAAACATAAGACCTAACACCGTAAAAGTCCTAGAAGAAAATCTAGGCAAAACCATTCAGGACATAGGCATAGGCAAGAACTTCATGACCAAAACACCAAAAGCATTGGCAACAAAAGCCAAAATAAGACAAATGGGACCTAATCAAACTCCACAGCTTCTGCATGGCAAAAGAAACAGTCATTAGAGTGAATCGGCAACAAACAGAAAGGGAAAAAATTTTTGTAATCCACCCATCAGACAAAGGGCTGATATCCAGAATCTACAAAGAACTAAAACAGATTTACAAGAAGAAAACAAGCCCATTCAAAAGTGGGCAAAGGATATGAACAGACACTTTACAAAAGAAGACATACATGAGGCCAACAAACATATGAAAAAATGCTCATCATCGCTGGTCATTAGAGAAATGCAAATCAAAACTACATTGAGATACCATCTCACACCAGTTAAAATGGCGATCATTAAAAAATCTGGAGACAACAGATGCTGGAGAGGATGTGGAGAAATAGGAACACTTTTACACTGCTGGTGGGAGTGTAAATTAGTTCAAACATTGTGGAAGACAGTGTGGCAATTCCTCAAGGACCTAGAAATAGAAATTCCATTTGACCCAGCAATCCCATTACGGGTATATATTGAAAGGATTATAAATCATTCTATTATAAGGACACATGCACACGAATGTTCATTGCAGCACTGTTTACAATAGCAAAGACTTGGAATGAACCAAAATGCCCATCGATGATAGACTGGACAGGGAAAATGTGGTACACATATACCATGGAATAATATGCAGCCATAAAAAATGAGTTCATGTCCTTTGTAGGGACATGGATGAACCTGGAAACCATCATTGTCAGCAAACTGACACAAGAACAGAAAATCAAACACCGCATGTTCTTACTCATAGGCGGGTGTTGAACAATGAGAACACATGGACACAGGGAAGGGAGCATCACACATGTGGGTCTGTCGGGGGGAAATAAGGGAGGGACAGCAGGGTTGGGAAGTTGGGGTGAGATAGCATGGGGAGGAAGGCAGCAAATCACACTGCCATGTGTGTACCTATGCAACAATCTTGCATGTTCTTCACATGTATCCCAAAACCTAAAATGCAAAATACACACAAAACACCTTGCAAACTTTCCTGACCCCAACCTACACTAAAAAATAAATTTTACATTGAGCCCAATACATACACAGACATAACTAAAAAATTTTATGATATACTTACCTTAAAATAATATTTCATAAAAGGTTTCCTGAAATAATACAGTATTCCAGTTCACTGAAATTATTCTATTCCATTTTTTTTAAAAAAAATGATGGTCTCACCCACTACACTGATTTTATAACTAATAGGTCACTATCTGCAGTTTGAAAAAGTGGGTAAAGGAATAGCAAGCATAAAAAATTGACTCTCTGCAGTAAAAGATATCTATTTCTGCAATAGGAATATACCAAGAGTAACAGCTACCTTACCTTTGGCCATAACATTCTCTGTCCCAATGTATTTGATGAGGTATTGTCAATACGTTCTCATTTTTATTATTCGCTCAATCAAATATTTACTAAGCACCTACTAGACGCTGGCAACTCATTATGGCTCTGCAAATAACAGCAATAATCAAAGTCCCTACCCTTAAGGAGTTACATTCTGATTAGGAGAGATAGACAGTAATGAAATTCATAGATAAATACATAGTGGTCAGATGGTGGTAAGTGCCACAGAAGGGCTCTTTTCAGACGTTTCTTTCCCTGGGCTTGCTTACATAACAACACCCTCCTTCCTTCTTTGAAAACATACTTTCTTCATATTTACTGATGTTCTTACCTCGAGAACAGTAGGATAGGCAGTAATCAGTTCATCTCAAAGGTGACTTTGCGTATCTTTTCTGTTTTGTATTTGTTTATGCATGGTTTCTCAGATCAATATGCTTTTCTAATTTCTAAATTACTTCTTAGTAATGCTAATTAATTATCCCTGGATCTTGCACATGTAATGAGAGTGGGATCAATTTCACTGAGCTAAACCTTTAGTCACTGTTTGAGAGACCTTTTCAGTCCCAGGATTGGCGTTCCTAGATGTCTGAGTTCCTGCCTAAAGAGGCCTCATACTGGACCCCCAACAACTTATCTCCTGATTGGATCCTGCTCTGAATGACAGGAGTTAACCGAGAATCCTGCAGCTGTTAAAAGTGAGATCACCTCAGAGCAAGGCTAGACTCCAAACCCAGTAGATCCATTACATTAGAGGTTGGAAAAGTTTTTCTTTTCTATAAAGGGACAGATAGTCTATATTTCTAGCTTTCTGGGCCAGATACTCTCTGTCACTACTCAATATTGCCATTGTAATCCTGAAGCCACCATAGACAATATGTAAATGAATGGCATGCCATGTTCCAGTAAAATTTTATCTGCAAAAGTAAGCAGCAGGCTGGCCCCCTGAAACTGATGGAGAGATTACTTCCTGCTGGAAATACTTGGGACTTACATTTGAGACAGGCTGAAAGGATGGCATGAGGGAGGAAAAAAAGCTTACAAATAAAGAACAGCCAGTTTGGCCAAAGAGGAATGTGCATGAAAGGCAGTGGCAACAGACTGAAATGTAATTTGGTAAGGATAAATACATTTACAAACACGCAAACTGAACTTTTGCTGGTTCATCTTTATTTTATGATCCTACTACTTAAAAATAGATAATTAAAAAATGTTATTTTAAAAGTCATCTTCCACTAGAATCATAAACTTCTTTGTATCAAAAGTTGTGCCACTATCCTGGTTACTTGTGGATTCACCAAGCAGTCGAGCAAGTCATCTGTAGAAATGAATGTTTGAGAAGGAACCGCAGTAGTATTTGAGACAATCTCTTCCTCAACTGCATTTTCACTGTTGCTCATTATTTGTTGCCTCTTGGCACAACGCAGTTTTGCAAAGTGTTCTCCATCCTTGTCTACAAAGTCTTTCCCATCACTTTCAAACATGCCTCCTCTTTCTGAAGATGGTTCTTCGGACCTCTGTGCTACAGGGACCAGATCTGGCCCAAAGTGACTTGCTGCCTCCAGTTTGCCTATTCCCGTGGTTAAGTTCTGGCTACCTGTTTGGCCCACCTCCACGTGGTCGCACACACTGAATTCTTCCTTTTTCATGTGGTCTCCATATGTTCTCAGTGTTTGGATTTCTACTACCTTAGATGTTCTGCAGTGATCAAAAAATGCAGAAACAGCTGCATTTAAGTAGCAACAGTTTACTTCATGGGATGTTTCCTCAACCTAAGGGAAAAGAAAAGCACTTTAAAATGGTTACATACATTTAGTTGCACTGGAAAAGAAATGTCCTAGTCAGGGCTGAACCAGAAGCCGCCTACCTCAGTAGGGTTTAACCAGGCTCTTGTATTTTGTGGATTTTCTGCAGTTTTCAGGGCACACACAAGCATACGGGTGATTGCTTCTTCTACCCGGGCTAGGTGATCCTCTTCCTTAATTAAAAAATATATATATATATTAACTTCAGTGAAGTCTCAGAGTGTAAAGTCTCTTAATTTCATCTTCTGTTCGCTCATTATTATAAACTTTGTTATAGAAGGAATGAATATGCTATTGATAGAACCACAATTTTTGTGTATTTACTATCACCTGCCATCTAGAAGAGTTGCAGAGTATTTCACCAGTCAAATTTAAGTATGTATTCTGTTTAAAAGACATGGCCTTAAGTATGAATCACCTTATGTTTTCTCCAATCTTTTCCATTATTTGACATGTCTAAAGTTTTTTTTTTAAGTACTACATACAGAGGAATAATCCCTATAGGGTTTGATAAGCAAATTATTTGAGAGATGGAAGAAAAATTACAATAAACATGCTTGGCTACAAGAATGAGATGGCTAATCATCTAAACATGAATTTCTTAAGATAGAAATTCATCTATAAGGTATAGCATTAATGAGAAACTGCATTAAAATCAACAACTGCTGTTTATCGAAAAATACCACGAAGGAAAAAAACAAACTAGATGCCTGTAACATATGTAATTGATAAAAGATTAATATGTAGGATAAATAACCTACACATATCAATAAGAGAAACGAGCAAATGTTTAAAAATGAGCAAGAGACACGAAGACAAGCATTTTTAAAAGGAGCAATCAGATGACTAATAAACATATGAAGATATTTTTAGCCTCCAGTGAAGTGCAAATGGAGAAACCCATGAGATTTCTCTCAAAAGGGGCCTGATAATTCCAAGTGGGACATTGATAGACAAAACTCTTATATACTAATGGGAGAACAAACTGATAGAGACATTTGGAAAACATGGGTGCATTATCTGGTAAAGTTGAATACTGTATACCCTAAGGACCAGCAATACCACTCCTAGATTTATACCCAGTCTAGAGAAACTCTTGCACCTACGTGCCAAGAAACATGTATGAGAATATTCTGTTTATAGAAGCAAAAAACTGAACACCGAATCATCCATCAACAGAACAATGAATGGATAAATTATTATAAATATAAATGATTGATATATATCCATAAATACAGTAATAGTAATTAAAATAGTAACAATGAATAAATATTAATAATGAATAAATTATGGGGTACCTTAACACAATATTATATCACAGAGAAAATGAATGAACAGCTTACATGTGACAACACAAATGAATCTTAGAGACATAATATTGAATTTAAAAAGGCAAATCTCCATAATGAGATACCACTTCACACCAGGATAGCTCTAATAAAAAAAGACAGATATGACAAAAAATGAGACATTAACAAGTGTTGGTGAGGATGCAGAGAAATCAGAGTCTTCATACATTGCTGGTGGGAATGTAAATGGTACTTCAGAAACCTGCGAGTTCCTCAAAAGGTTAAACACTAAGCTACCATATGTAAGGATTAATTTTGAGTCAAGTGAGCTTGACTACAGTGCCCGGTTGTTTGGTCAAACAATAATCTAGGTGTTGCTGTGGAGATACTTTGAAAAATGTTATTAGCATTTACAATCAACTGACTTTATGTAAAGGAGATTATGCTCAACAATGTTCATGGTCCTCATCCAATTAGTTGAAGGCCTTAAGAGCAAAAACTGAGATTTCTTAGAGAAAAAATTCTGCCTCAAGACTATAATAGAAGTCCTATGTGAGTTTCCAGGCTGTCAGCCTGCTCTACAAATTTCAGATATGCAAGCCCCCACCATTAAGTAAGTCCTTAAAGTAAATCTCAATCTCTTGTTCTCTATATAGACATTTCTATCTACTTATTAGATAGATATCTATATTTACATACATGTAGATATCATGTAAAGATATCTATCTATATACTCACAGGAATCGAATTGCTGGATCATCTGGTATGTCAGAGTTCCTCAGAGAAACAGAACTAACAGAAGATATAGCCAGACAACCAGAAACAGATATAACATATACCATTAGATTCATTATATACCAGAAGATTCAGCCATGCAGTAGCATGCATCAGTATTTCTTTCCTTATGATAGTTGAAAAATATTCCATTGTACACATATAGCACATTTTGTTTATCCACTCATCAGTTGATTGATATATGAGTTGTGTCCACTTTGCGCTATTATGAATACTACTACTGTGAACATTCATGTAGAAGTTTTTGTGTGGACATATATTTTCATTTTTTCTTGGGTCTACGCCTAAGAAGGGAATTGTAGGTTCATATGGTATGTCAGTCAAGGTTCTCTAAAGAAAGAGAACCAATAGAAAAAATATATATATGTGTATATGTGTACAGAGACAGACAGACGGATAGATGGACAGATAATGTGACAAAACTTTTTTGTTTAAGCAAGAGAATAAGGATAGTGAACAGCACAGACAGGGAAGGGATCGGGAAGAACACAGAACAGATGCAAGTTACTAAGAAAATTCTAAGCTGGGCATGATGACTCATGCCTGTAATCCCACAACTTTTGGAGGCCACAGTGGAAGAGCTTTTCTGGAGCTAAATTTGGCAAAAAGAAGGAATTATTGTCCAATATTGTCCAATGTTGAAGAGACAATGATAAAAGCAACATATGACAGAGAAAGATATGATTGTTTAACTCCAATTGTGCATTCCAGTTTTTCAATAAAGAATGAATGGTCTTCAAATGGAATTATACAGAAAGATGTTGCAGAGGGAACTGGATGTCTGGTTTAGTGAAGGGCAGGAATCATCCATTTGAAATCAGCATGAAGTTCTTAGCTACTACACTTCTAAGTACTACCTTGGAGTCTGTTTATACTCAATGATACTCAATCCTTTGGAAAATTCTAGAAAAGATGACTAAATTGTATATAAGGAACAAGACAAGGATGCCCACTATCTCCACTATTATTAATGAATTGGATGTATTAGCCTTTTAAAACACTGTGGTGAGATCTTTCATGTTATTGAGGCCATGTAAATTCAAATCTAAATAAAATATGAACAAATAATATCATATAGTACATTTAAAGACAGTATATCACAACCAAGTGGTATTTGTTCCAGCAATTAAGGATTAATCAGTATTAGGCAATCAATTGATATTACTTATTGCAATACCAGATATTTGCTAAAGAAGAATATTATGTAATCATCTCTATCAATTCAACAAAATTCAATACATTTTCCTGATTTTAAAAAACCACAAAAAAAGTAATGAACTAGAAATTGATGGATATTTAATGTGATAAAACACATATACAACTCAGACCCAAATCTAGCATTTCACAGTCAGGAACAAGACAAGGATACCCACTATCTCCACTATTATTAATGAATTGGATGTATTAGCCAATGTAATCAGACCAAATCTCCACCTCTGCCCCACAATTATAGGCAAACAAAGTAGAAAGGAAGAAGAAAAACTATCTTAATTTTCAGGTAATCAGAGATATCTGAAAACCCAAGAAAGTCAATTAAAAACTACCACAAAATAAAATAACCCAAATTAACACAAAAATCAATAGCTATCATATTCACTAATATTATCCAGTTAGAAGACAGAATGGAAGAGAAGGCCTTACCCTAGCAGCAAAACAGATGAAATATGGCAGTCCTCCTGCAGTTTGGCTTTCCACGGTTTCAGTTACCCGTGAGCAATCTCAGTCAGAAAATATTAAACTAAAAATTCCCGAAATAAACAATTTATAAGCTTTAAATTACATGTAGTTCTGAGTAGTGTGATGAAAGCTCTCACCATTCCACTCCACACCGTACATACTACCCTGCCTCTGAGTCACATAGTACCTAGCTCAGTGATCAGATCGCTGTCGTGCTATTCGCAATGCTTGTATTCCTGGAACACTTATTTTACTTAATAATGGCCTCAAAGTACAAGAGTTGTGATGCTGGCAATCTGGATATGCCAAAGACAAGTTGTAAAGTGCTTTCCTTAAGTGAAAAAGGAAAGTTCTCGACTTAATAAGGAGAGAAAAAACCAGGATGCTGAGGTTACTAAGATCTATGGTAAGAACAAATCTTCTAACTATGAAATTGTGAAGAGAAAAAAAAAATCATGCTAGTTTTGCTATCACACCTGAAACTGCAAAGCTGCAGCCACAGTGGATGATAAGTACTTAGTTAAGATGCATAAGTTTGCACCTTAGTTAAGACATTACATTTATAGGTGGAAGGCATGAACAGAAAAGTGTTGATTGATCATAGTAGGGTTTGGTAATATTCAGGGTTTCAGTCATCCACTGGGGATCTTGGAATAGATCCCTCAAGGATAAGGCGATACCACTGTGCTTAGGAATAAACATTTAAAAGAAATGTGCAACGCTTATGTGAGGAAAACTTTAAAAGACAGCTGTAAAAACAAAAACAAAAACTGGACTTGGACATACGGAAAGGCATGTAATTTGTGGACAGGATAATTCAACATCTTAAGCTAATATAAAATATAATATGGATCAGAAAAAAACATCAAAAGGTTTTTTTTTCTTCCTGAAGCTAGACAAGCTGATTTTAAAGAACACATAAAAAACAGAGGCAAGAATAGCCAGGAAAACCCTTAAAAGAAAAGCAATGACAGAAGTTAGTTCCACCAATGTTAAAAACATAAGATCTCTCTAAATAAATAGGCAGACAGGGGCCGGGCCCAGTGGCTCACACTTGTAATCCCAGCATTTTGGGAGGCTGAGGTGGGTGGATCACCTGAGGCCAGGAGTTTGAGACCAGCCTGGCCGACATGACTAAAACCCACTTCTACTAAAAATAACAAAAAATTAGCTGGGCGTGGTGGCAGGCGCCTGTAATCCCAGCTACTCAGGAAGCTGAGGCAGGAGAATCACTTGAACCCAAGAGATGGAGGTTGCAGTGAGTCGAGATCATGCCATTGTACTCCAGCCTAGAAAACAAGAGCAAAACTCTGTCTAAAAAAAAAAGGCAGAAAGACCAATGGACAAAATAGACCCACGTGTTCAGATATCTAGTATATGATTAAATAGACATTTCAAATCATTAAGGGAAAACAGATTGTAAAGCAAATGATGGTCCTGAGAATCCTATTACCATTTAGGAAAAGATAAAATTAGATCTCAACCTTATACTATATCCCAGTGAAAAATATCCAAATGGATAAGAGATCTAAACGCACAAAACATGAAACAATCTAAATTCTAACATAAAACATTGGTGAATTCCTTTATGACATGGAAAAAGTCATATGACCTTGGTTTCTAATTATGACTCAAAAACAATAAAGTTCAACAACAGATTTCAATGGTAAGGCTGTGGAGGAAACAAGCACTTTCATATACTACCAATGGAAATGCAAAACAGCACAATCACAATGAAGCTGAATTTGGCAAAACCTAACAAAATTAAAGATACATTTACCCTACGACTTGGCAAATCCAGTGTTAAGATCTCCCCCAAAGACACACTTCAACAAATATAAAACAACATATACACAAGGTTATTCAGTGGCACTATTTGTAATTTTTTAAGATTGGAAACAACCCAAACATCTATCCATAAAGAAACCAATGAACAGTAGGGTACCCATATAATGGGGCATTAGACAGTGGCTGAAGAAAAAATGTGAATATTTATCTGAACTGTTATGTAGTGAAATTCAGGGTATTATTGTTGAAGAAAGCAAGGTGTGGAACACTATGGTTTATTACTTTCTGTGGAATAAAGGATATAAAATAAAAATATATTAATAAATATATAAAGATGAATTATATGCCTATGCACTTTGTAAATATGACTGTATACTTATATATATTTAAACATGTGTATTCACTTAATTTTATATATATATATATATATCGAGATATATATGTTTATAAGAAACACTGGAATGATAAACTAGAAATGAATAAAAATGGATCTTTATAAAGGCTGGGAAGAATGGAGTGGATGGAACAGAGATGAAAGGCAGATTTCCCCGAGTATAACTTTTAATATAGTTTTGACAAGTTACATGTTCTAGATATTTGAAATATTAAACTAGATCAAAATTGTTAAAAAGTAAATCCTAAAATTGAAAACAAACTGAAACAAATGAACTTAACTAAATATCCAATTAGCAAAATAACCATAAAAAAAATTCCTTCACAATGACTCCTGAATAAAGGATTTTGTATCGATCCTCTTAGTGACAGATACAGTCTAATAATACAAAGAACAGCAAAGAAATCTTAATTTTTACTTGCAAGCTTTATGGCTAGTAGTAATAGTAATATTTGAATTTTGGAAATGTAAATCTGACACCTTAAAAAATATATTGCTGGATATAGCAAACAAATATGTATATTACTGTTTTTAAGGACCCGGATTTTCCGTGTAAGAGAAGAGATAAAAATACAGAAACAAATAAGAAAAAATTCTATTACATTAAACTTGAATTAGATCCTTTTATAGTTCCTAAGTCTGATGACTCAGTGTCATGCTCATCTGTGAGACATGCCTCCCTTAAGGTTTGTTATGATGTCAGCACATTACTTGCGTATATATATTTCTTAAATACACAAATTAGAAATATATCAATATTTATGTATGTATGTATGTATCATCTATCTATCTATGTATCTATCTCTCTCGCATTCTAGCTATGTCACTGAAAGAGCCTAGAAACAGTGTTACCCAGGAGCAATGAACAGCTTTAAAGCTGAGATCTGTTTCTATATACCACTCCTTACAAACAGAACTGTCGCTACCTGGAGAAACGACTGACTTCAAGTTTGGGACACTAAAGGAAAAAGGGTATCCTGGGATATCTTCTTGTACCAGAAAGCCAGGATACATTCAAAGTCTAATTAATGGGGACAAAAGTCTAATTGCTTTTAAAATACTTCCCATATGTCATGCACTATATGAGATGCTTTTACAATGTATTGTCCAATTTAACCTTACAACCACAACACTGAGGTGGGTTCAATTACAATCCTCATTTTATAAGAAAATGGAGGCTTGAAGAGATTAACCATCTGTGTTAGACAGCCAACCAAGGTAACTGTCCTAAAGCTTATCTTAAAGCTGCCTGATTCCAAAGTCTGTGGCCGAAATGGTAAAGAGTCTGGGGGAAAAAAAAGTCACATAAAAACACCCCACTAAAGAAAGTAAACGGTTTTGAGCTTAGAAGAAGAAAAGATTACAGAAACACTTGGAGGTATCTTCAAATATTTAAAAAAGATGACAGCTCCACTCTTTAACAACAAATGAACTTCCTTGGGAGATTAAACACCTGTCAGGGCTATTGTAAATATGACTTTGGCATTGGGAATGGAAGTTCTCCATGGATTCTATCTTGACATTTGCTGCAACTCCAGTTCAGCATGCTACAGGCAGAATATCTGTGACGCTACTCATCTCCTGCCATACCTCTCGCCTAAGACTCAAGGGCTGCACCTCTTCTCTAAGCCCATACAACATAGCTTTCTGTTACAATATTCCTTCTGTTCCACTGATTCCAAAGCCATTCCTATTACCGAAGGATAGGAAAAACTAGACTAGGGAGAGGATGCGGCTGTCAAACAGAGCAGAGAGATGCAATCCAGGCTTCAGGTCAGGGAGAGCAGAGATGCAGTCAGGACCTCTGGTTGAAGAGAGACAGCTGCAATTAAGGACCCAGTTGAAGAGAGACTTCAGCATAAGCAGCAGCTATTTTAATTGACAAAAGAGCAGGCAACCAGGATTAAGCACAGTACATCGGAGGGAAAGGCCTCTGGCAGAAATAAAATGTTAAAATTCTAGCACTGAAAGACTCTGCTTTGAGAATATGTAGAAGCCATGACAGAATTCTGCAATTAGTAATGACCCTGAACCAAGAAGCAAGTGTTTTCAGCCCAGATGGCGTGGGAGAAGAGTGGTAACTGGGGACACATATTGGCAAATCTGGCCAGGCCCAGCACAATTTTCCTAATGACACTGGTCAAGGGAGAGGACCCTGTATGCCAACATCAGGCCCATTCTGTGTCCTTAAAACAAAGAGAGTGGCACACCACTAAAATTCCTATTTCCAACCTAAACACCCATTAACAGAGGACAGAATACATAAGTTATAGTGCACTAAAACAAAAAAAAAATACGGAAGCATTGGTTAAAAAAGTAATTACCAAGTTGTACAGCCAGACTTCATATATCTTTTAAAAGCAGGAATTGCACTTACTTAAGAAAACAAAACAGAATGAAAAAGTACCAGTTCGATCCAGGAGTTTATGCTGACAGTGACAGGATCAATGGATTCTACGTAATGCCACCAGTGTCTGGGAACAAACAGAACCTGAAAACCAAACAAAGAACGGTTAGCACAAGAACAGGACATTTCATTTTTACGTCAGGGAAAAAAGGACTACAAAGGAATTCACGATAATATTGGTGGAGAAAAGCAAAGAAAGAAAAAAAACCTCACAATCCTTTTTCCTTTTATTTCTTTTTTATCTACAAGTTTGCATGCTCTACAAAAGAAACTGCCAGCATCTCTATTCTCTTTAATCCTGGACCTTCTTCATCTGCACCTAAATCTTAGTACATGGTTCTGAGATTTTAATTTTTCCTGCTTTCCATCACAAAATAGTTGTATGCATCCTGAGAAAGGGCATAGGTAAAACGCATAGGACATGATTTCTGTTTTCTCACAGTTCGAAATAAGGCCAATGAGAAGATAATGTATAGGAAGGTGGCATTATAGAAATGGTAAGTTAGAGAACAATGATGTTGGAGAATTTCATCGGTGGGCAAAACAGGCATGAACTAGGGAGGTCAAGGGCAACATGGATGGAGGAAGTGTGATTTAAAACAGGGCTCGGAGAGCACTTAGACAGAGAAAAGAATGAGGGCACGCCAGGAAGGATAAGAGGCAGAGGTGAAGGAGATAGGGTTATAGAGGATAGCAAGTAGATCAGTCTTATTATTGCAGAGGAAATAATGGGAGACACAGTGGGGGAGTTAGTTTAGGGACAGTGAAGGACCGAGACTTCAGAGTAAGAATCTAGATTTGAGGCCAGGCATGGTGGCTCGTGCCTGTAATCCCAGCACTTTGGGAGGCTGAGGAGGGCAGATCATGAGGTTAGGAATTTGAGACCAGCTTGACCAACATGGTGAAACCCCATCTCTACTAAAAATACAAAAATTAGTTGGGTGCGGTGGTGCACAGCTGTAATCCCAGCTACTCAGGAGGCTGAGGCAGGAGAATTACCTGAACCTGGGAGGCAGAGGTTGCAGTGAGCCGAGATCATGCCACTGCACTCCAGCCTGGGTGAAAGAGTGAGAGTCCGTCTCAAAAAAAAAAAAAAAAAAAATCTAGATTTTATCTGGTAGGCATTAGTAGTTGCTGATAAATTCTAAATAGAGGAATGATTTAAATAGTGGTATCAAGGGAAAGTCTGAGAAGGACAGGAGATACTTATAAAGGTCCACTTATTAAATGTTAAAATCTAAATAGGAAGGTATAATAAACAAAAGCAATGGGCAGAGTCAAGAAGGGTGGCATCTATCCAGACTCAGTACTCAGTATGAGATTTCCTATGGACAGCAGAGCAGATGGAGATAATCTGAAGCTTTTGGGCTTCAGATTTAGGAAACTACTGGTACTTGCTATGAATAAGGCAGGACTGGGAAATGGAAAAAGAGATCCTTTCAGGAAAACTGGAAACTATCAAAGGCCACTTAATTTAGTCATTAGTAGATTATACATGTCCTATCAGAGTAAAGTTTCCAGTGAAATGGTGAGAGAAGAGCTGGGTTTGAGTAGACTAAAGAATGGACAAGGGGAGGGATCCAAGATGGCTGATTAGGAGCAGCTCAGGATTGCAGCTCCCAGAGAAAGCACAGAGGGTGAGTGGATGCCACATTTCCAGAAGGATTTTTATTGCCCACACACCAGGAGATTCTCAGGCGGAAGAGCCCCATGGGTCGCCGGCATGGCTGTTTTGGCCAGTGCAGCTGTTTTGACCAGTGGGGCTATTTTGCCGGTGCCCCAGTGCAGAGGTTCTCCATACAAAATACATGGGCCTGGGCGCTGTTTTAGCTGGCGACTGGAGCTCCGGGAAGGCAGAGTCGCCCATTCTTCTGATTAAAAAGGGGACTGAAACGGAGCCAGGCTAGGATATTTCTGGGCGAAAAAGTGCCATGAATATCAGAGCGGCTGTTTCAGCTGGCACAGTGGGTCGCCGCATGGGAAATCATACAGATCCTGGTGCCTTTTCAAAAGGCGATTGGAACACCTGGGAGAGAGTTGACCTTTGAACAAAAAAAGGCTCTGAGGCAGGGAGCCAGGTGATCAGTCTCAGCTGGTTCCACCCTCACAAAAAAACAGCAATTGGAAATACTCTGGATTGAGAGATTCACAGCAAGCACAGCTGAACCTGGGATGGTCCAGCTGTGTGGGGGAGGGGCACCCACCATTACCAAGGCAGTCCACCACTACGGAGGTAGTCTGCCATTGCTGAGGCAGTCTGTCATTACAGAGACAGTCTGACATTATAGAGGTGGGCCGCCACTACCAGGGCAGTTCTAACTAGACCCGTATAAACAGGACTGCAGGGAAGTTCCCACAGCAGCTGAGCAGAGCCCACAGCACCTCAGCAAAGCCTCTGCAGGCAGACAGTGACTAGGCTGCACCCTTGCTGGGCAAGACAGCCCTGAAAAAAGGCAGCAGCACAACAAAAACTTATAAATAAAGCCCTAACTCCCCAGGACAAAGCTCCTGGGAAAAACAAAAGGGGTTTATGAGTTCTGCTGCAGCAGACTTAAACGTACCTGCCTAGCAGCTCTGAATGAACAATGGAGCGCACAGCTCAGCACTTGAGCTCCTATAAAGGACAGACTGTCTCCTCAAGCAGCTCCCTGACCCCCATATATCCAAAGAGTCACCTCATAAAGGAGAGCTCAGACTGACATCTGGTGAGTATCTTTTTGGGACAAAGATAGCAGAAGAAGAAACTGGCAGCAACCCCTACTGTTCTGCAGCTGCTGCAGGTGATCCCCAGGCAAGCAGGGCCTGGAGTGGACCTCAGCAGTCCTACAGCAGAGGGGCCAGACTGTTAGAAGAAAAACTAAGAAACAGAAAGAAATAACTTCATCATCAACAAATGGAACATCCACTCAGAGACCCAATCTGAAAGTCAACAACTACAAAAACAACAGGTGGATAAATCCATAAAGATGGGAAGAAACCAGTGCAAAAAGGATGAAAAAACCGGAAACCAGAACACCTCTCCTCCTACAAGGGATCACAACTCCTCACCAGCAAGGGAACAAGGCTGGATGGAGAATGAGTCTGATGAATTGACAGAATCAGGCTTCAGAAGGTGGGTAATAAGAAACTTCCGTGAGCTAAAATAACATGTTTTAATCAAATGCAAAGAAACTAAAAACCTTGAAAAAAGATTTGACAAAATGCTAATGAGAATAAACAACTTAGAGAGGAATATAAGTGAATTGATGGAGCTGAAAAACACAAACCAAGAAGCATGCAAAAGTTTCAACAGCTGAATTCACCAAGCCGAAGAAAGGATAATCAGAGGTAAAAGATCAACTCAATGAAATAAAACAAGAAGGCAAGATTAGAGAAAAAAGGGTAAAAAGGAATGATCCAAGTCTCCAAGAAATATCGAACTATGTGAAAAGACCTAATCTACGTTTGATAGGTGTACCTGAATGTGATGGAGAGAATGAATCCAAGCTGGAAAATACTCTTCAGGGAATTATTCAGGAAAACTTCCCCAACCTAGCAAGGCAGGCCAATATTCAAGTCCAGGAAATACAGAGAACACCACAAAGATATTCCTCAAGAAGAGCAACCCCAAGGCACATAATCGTCAGATTCACCAGGGTTGAAATGAAGGAGAAAATTCTAAGGGCAGCCAGAGAGAAAGGTCAGGTTACTTACAAAGGGAAGCCCATCAGACTCACAGCAGATCTCTCAGCAGAAACCCTACAAGCCAGAAGAGAGTGGGGCCAATATTCAACATCCTTAAAGAAAAGGACTTTCAACCCAGAATTTCATATCCAGCCAAACTAAGCTTCATAAGTGAAGGAAAAATAAAATCCTTTGCAAACAAGCAAGTACTCAGAGATTTCATCACCACCAGGCCTGCTTTACGAGAGCTCCTGAAAGAGGCACTAACCATAGAAAGGAACAAACAGTACCAGCCAATCCAAAAACACACCAAATGGTAAAGAGCATCAACACAATGAAGAAACTGCATCAACTAACAGGCAAAACATCCAGCTAGCATCAAAATGGCAGGATCAAATTCACACATAACATTACTAACCCTAAATATAAATGGGCTAAATGCCCCAATCAAAAGACACAGACTGGCAAACTGGATAAAAAGCCAAATCCATCCGTGTGCTGTATCCAGGAAACCCATCTCACAGGCAAGGATACACAAAGGCTTAAAATAAAGAAATGGAGGAAGATTTACCAAGCAAGTAAGAAGCAAAAAAAAAAAAAAAAAAAAAAAAAAAAACCAGAGTCCGGAGTTGCAATTCTTGTCTCTGATAAAACAGACTTTAAACCAACAAAGATCAAAAGAGACAAAGAAAGACATTACATAATGGTAAAAGGATCAATGCAACAAGAAGAGCTAATGATCCTAAATATATATGCATCCAATACGGGAGCACCTGGATACATAAGGCAAGTTCTTAATGACTTACAAAGAGACTTAGATTCCAACATAGTAATAGTGGGAGACTTTAACACCGCATCATCAATATTAGACAGATCAACGAGACAGAAAATTAACAAGGATACCCAGGATTTGAACTCAGACCTGGACCAAGCAAACCTAATAGACATTTACAGAACTCTCCACCCCAAATCCACAGAATATCCATTCTTCTCAGCACCACATTGCACCTACTCTAAAATTGACCACATAATTGGAAGCAAATAACTCCTCAGCAAATGCAAAAGAACGGAAATCATAACAAACAGTCTCTCAGACCACAGTGCAATCAAGTTAGAACTCAGAATTCAGAAACTCAGAACTTCACAGCTTCATGGAAACTGAACAACTGGCTCTTGAATGTTGACTGGATAAACAATGAAATGAGGGCAGAAATAAAGATGTTCTTTGAAACCAACAAGAAGGAAGATACAACATACCAGAATCTCTGGGACACATTTAAAGCAGTCTCTAGAGGAAAATATATAGCAATAAATACCCACATGAGAAGCAAGGAGAGATCTAAAATCAACACCCTATTCTCAAAATTGAAAGAGCTAGAGGAACAAGATCAAAAAAACTCAAAACCTAGCCGAAGACAACAAATAACTAAGATCAGAGCAGAACAGAAGGAGATAGAGACACAAAAAAACCCTTCAAAAAAATCAATAAATCCAGGAGCTGGTTTTTCGAAAAGATCAACAAAATAGACCCCTAGCCAGATTAATAAAAAAGAAAAGAGAGAATAATCAAATAGATGCAATAAAAATACAATAAAGGGGATATCACCAGATTCCACAGAAATACAAACCATCATCAGAGATTATTAAAAACAACTCTATGCAGATCAACTAGTAAACCTGGAAGAAATGAATAAATTCCTGACCACTTGCATCCTCCCAAGCCTAAACCAGGAAGAAGTCAAAACACTGAATAGACCAATAACAAGGTCTGAAATTGAGGCAGCAATTAAGAGCCTACCACACAAAAAAGCCCAGGTCCAGATGGGTTCACAGCCGAATTCTACCAGACATACAAAGAGGAGCTGGTACCATTCCTTCTGAAACTATTCCAAACAATCCAAAAAGAGGGAACACTTCCCACATCATTTTATGAGACCAACATCATCCTGATACCAAAACCTGGCAGAGACTCAGCAAGAAAAGAAAACTTCAGGCCAATATCCATGATGAACATAGATGCAAAAATCTTCAATAAAATACTGGCAAACCCATTGCAACAGCACATCAAAAAGCTTAGCCACCATGATCAATTAGGATTCATCCCAGGGATGCAAGGCTGGTTCAACATACACAAGTCTATAAACATAATTCACCACATAAACAGAACCAAAGACAAAAACCACATGATTATCTCAATTGATGCAGAGAAGGCCTTTGACAAAATTCAACAGCACTTTATGCTAAAAACCCTCAATAAAGTAGGTATTGATGGAGCATATCTCAAAATAATAAAAGCTATTTATGACAGACCAACAGCCAATATCATACTGAATGGGCAAAAACTGGAAGCATTCCCTTTGCAATCTGGCACTAGACAAGGATGCCCTCTCTCACCACTCCTATTCAATATATTATTGGAAGTTCTAGCCAGAGCAATCAGGCAAGAAAAAGAAATAAAGGGTATTCAAATAGGAAAGGAGGAAGTCAAATTGTCTCTATTTGTAGACGAAATGATTGTATTATCAGCCCCAAATCTCCTGAAACTGATAAGCAACTTCAGCAAAATCTCAGGATACAAAATCAATGTGCAAAAATCACAAGCATTCCTATACACCAATAACAGACTTAAAGAGAGCCACATTAAGAACGAACTGCCATTCACAATTGCTACCAATAGAATAAAATACCTAGGAATACAATTAACAAGGAAGGTAAAGGACCTCTTCAAGGAGAACTACAAACTGCTGCCCAATGAAATAAGAGAGGACATAAACGGATGGAGAGCCATTCCATGTTCTTGGTTAGGAAGAATCAATATTGTGAAAATGGCCATACTGTCCAAAGTAAGTTACAGAATCAATGCTATCCCCATCAAACTACCATTGACCTTCTTCACAGAACTGGAAAAAACCACCTTAAACTTCATATGGAACCAAAAGTGAGCCCGCACAGTCAAGTCAATTCTAAGCAAAAAGAACAAAGTGAGAGGTATCACACTACTGGACTTCAAACTATTCCACAAGTCTACAGTAATCAAAACAGTATGGTACTGGTACCAAAACAGAGATATAGACCAATGGAACAGAACAGAGGCCTACGAGGCAACATAACATATCTACAACCATCCGATCTTTGACAAACCTGATGAAAACAAGCAATGGGGGAAGGATTTCCTGTTTAATACATGGTGTTGGGAAAACTGGCTAGCCATGTGCAGAAGCAGATACTGAACACCTTCCTGACACCTTACACTAAAATTAACTCCAGATGGATTAAAGACTTAATCATAAGACCTAACACCATAAAAACTCTAGAAGAAAATCTAGGCAAAACCATTCAGGACATAGGCGTAGGCAAGGACTTCATGACCAAAACACCAAAAGCACTGGCAACAAAAGCCAAAATAGACAAATGGGACCTAATCAAACTCCACAGCTTCTGCACAGCAAAAGAAACAATCATTAGAGTGAATCAGCAACCAACAGAATGGGAAAAAGTTTTTGCAGTCTACCCATCTGACAAAGGGCTGATATCCAGAATCTACAAAGAACTAAAACAGATTTATAAGAAAAAAACAAGCCCATTCAAAAGTGGGCAAAGGATATGAACAGACACTTTACAAAAGAAGACATATATGAGGCCAAGAAACATGAAAAAAATGTTCATCACTAGTCATTAGAGAGATGCAAATCAAAACTACATTGACATACCATCTCACGTCAGATGGAATGGCAATCATTAAAAAATCTGGAGACAACAGATGCTGGAGAGGATGTGGAGAAATAGGAACACTTTTTCACTGCTGGTGAGAGTGTAAATTAGTTCAACCATTGTGGAAGACAGTGTGGCGATTCCCCAAGGACCTAGAAATAGAAATTCCATTTGACCCAGCAATCCCATTACTGGGTATATATGAAAGGATTATAAATCGTTCTACTATAAGGACACATGCACACGAATGTTCATTGCAGCACTGTTTACAATAGCAAAGACCTGAAACCAACCCAAGTGCCCATCGATGATAGACTGGACAGGGAAAATGTGGCACATATACACCATGGAATATTATGCAGCCATCAAAAATGATGAGTTCGTGTCCTTTGTAGTGATATGGATGAGCCTGGAAACCATTATTCTCAGCAAACTGACACAAGAACAGAAAATCAAACACTGCGTGTTCTCACTCACAGATGGATGCTGAACAATGGGAATACATGGACACAGGGAGGGTAGCACTACACACTGGGGTCTGTAGGGGGAAACAGGAGAGGGACAGGGGGTTGGGAGTTGGGGTGAGATGGCATGGGGAGAAATGCCAGATATAGGTGATGGGGAGGAAGGCAGCAAATCACACTGCCATGTGTGTACCTATGCAACAATCTTGCATGTTCTTCACATGTACCCCAAAACCTAAAATAGAATAAAAGAATGGACAGGATGCAAGGAAAACTGATACAATATACAAAATCACTCATTCAAATTTGGCTGTTAAAGACAGAAGAGAATATGAATTGGCAACCACTTCACACCCTCTAGAATGGCTGTAAAAATAATAATAAAAAAGGAAAACAACAAGTGTTGGGAAATATGTGAAGAATTGGAACCCTCATACAATGCTGGTGGGAATGTAAAATGGTACAGCTGCTATGGGAAATAGTTTGCAACTCCTCAAAAAGCAAAACAGAGGGTTACCATATGACTCAGCAATTCTACTAGGTATATACTCAAGAGTATTGAAAACATATGTACACAGAAAATTTGTACATAAATGTTCAAAGCAGCATTGCTTATAATAGCCAGCAAAGCAGAAACAATGCAAATGTCCATCAACTGATGAATGGATAAGCAAAATGTTATATATTCATACAATGGAATATTATTCAGCTATAAAAAATGAAGTGCTAGTAACATTCTACAATGTGGATGACCCTTGAATACATTATGCTACGTGAAAGAAGTCAGACACAGAATGCCCTGTGTTATACTGTACTGTGTGAAACGTCCAGAATGGTCAAATCTACAAAGATAGAAAAAGATTAGTTGTTGTCAGGGGCTGTGGGGAGAGGCGAATCCAGAGTGACCAGCAGGTTGTGGCAACTGAGTACAAGTGAAATTGAGTTGACAGCGCTTCAGTGAAGGAAGCAGGAAAAGAGCTAGTGAGATGGGTACAATGGAAGGACGACAGGCAGGAGAGAGGGATAATCGAGAGAATAAAGTCTCCTTAAATGACTAAGAAAATCTTTCAAATTATTCATGAAATATCAGAGAGCAAGCACCAATGTTGTAAAGGGAGTTTTCCTTATTGGGAAGCAGCACTAAGTACAATACCTTCAGAAATGTTTCAGTTAGTAATTTATGAAAACAACATCCATTCTTGCTTAAAAGCAAACATTCTCAGTTCCTTCTGCCCCCGTTGGCCCACACTTGGATACATTCCAACCTGCTATCATTGAACAGATATTAACTGTGAATAAGTGTTCCAGAGATGCTCAAGTACCCATGCTTTGAACATTTTCTGTCTTCCTCCAAAGTCCATTCTCCTCTTTACCAATAGGAGGAGCTGTGTTCCCTCTTCCCATTTCCTTTCCAGGACCTGTGAAGGGGATGTGTCTATGTCTGAAGCCTAGTGCTGGGGAAGCTTCCTGCCAATAGCAGAGCAGAGGGAAGGAAGCCATTCTCGTTTGTACAGAGTGGGGAGGGGAAGCACATAGTAAAAGGACTTGAGAGAGTTCAGCTGTGGTGTCCCTGGCAGGTCGTTAATGTTTCAAAGCCTCATTACCTGTCCTGGGTTCAGTGTAACCATATGTCTTTGAGCTTTCTGGAACTGAGGAAAACGCTTTAAATCAGGATTGACAACATTGATTTTACTGAACACACTAGATTCTTCATAAGGGATTCTAGTTGGATAAAGGAAAGGAGTATCTTCAGGAGGAAAGAGATGCCATCGTTTCCTAATTAAAAAAAAAAGATACAAGTTAGTACTCTGACCTTAAAGATAAAACATGCAAGAAGGAAAAAGATAAATGTTCATTTTTACTCATTTAAATTCAATCCCTAAGGAATACAGGCACCATCAGTGGTCAACCTGGCCATCTCTGACTCAGCGCTAGAATCCCTCTGCGGATACCTGGTGGAAGGCTGTGCAGCAACCGAGGGGCCCCTTCCAATGCTGGGACAGAATCTAGCCTGTAAGGTCATTCCTTCTTATCTCAAATCAAAGTCTACCTTCTTATAAATAGTTTTCATTCCTGATTCTACAGCTAGTCCATAATAACCCCAACTCTTTCAAATATCTGTATTCTTATCTTATTTGGAGAAAACACTCAAAGTTCCATCCACCAAATAGTTTCCAGACTTCTGCCAGTTTGGGTTACAAATTCCTTAAGTTAAACATTTGCTAAGTTAATCCGTTAGGGAGTGGATATGCACAAATAATGCCACATAAATAAAGTAGTATAATGTAGGAATTTTCAAAAAGAAAACTGTAAAATGTTTGTCACTTAAAACAGTTTTGAAAATGGAAACATCAGACCAATACTTTATGCCAAAAGGGGAAAGACATCTGAGGCAAAAGCGAGAGAAGTAGGAGAAAAGAATGAGACCCCAAAATCTAGTTGTCTAGCTGGGCAAGCAAACAGAAAGGAGCAAAAAAACCTAATACTGAGAAGAGAAGCCCAAAGCCCTCCAGTGACCCCTTGCAGTTGTTAGAGTGGGGCTATCGAGTCCTTTCAGAACCAAGAAACAGTGGCTGCTGTTTTCAAACTAAGAAGTGTGTACTAAAGTCTTATTTTGCTTTGGAAATTTGAAGGTTTTATAGAAATAGTGAAATGCTTTACTCTTCAGTAAATATTCACATTCAGGCCATGTGTGGTGGCTCGTTGCCTGTAACCTCAGTACTCTGGGAGGCCAACGCAGAAGGACTGCTTGAGGTCAGGAGTTAGAGACCAACTTTGGAGCATGGTAAGCATAGCAATACCTTGTCCCCATAAAAACGTTTTCTTAAAAAATTAGCCAGGTGTGGTGGCATGTGTCTGTAGTCCTAGCTACTCAGGAGGCTGAGATGGGAGGGTTGCTTGGGCCCAGGAGTTCAAGGTAGCAGTGAGCTATGATTGTGCTGCTGCACTCCAGACTGGGCAACAGAGCAAGACCCTGTATCTAAAAAAAAAAAAAAAAATTCATTTTAGAGCTATAACGCAGCCTATCAATTTACACAGCCATCAGCTTAAAAACCACTGAGGTTCAAAAACTGTTTGCTTCATCTTAAAGCTTTAATTTAAACTTAATTTAATCTTTAAGAGATGCTCCATTCCACTGTATGGTTTGAAAGCAGTTTTCAATATTGATATGCTTTGAATGTTAGAGCTGGAAGGGCTCTGAAGAGATCATCAGTCTAATTTCATTTTCAAATTAGTGGCAGAAAGACTCAGAGCTTGTTCAGTGGGGTGGTGGTGGATTCAGAACTAGGTAACAGATCTCCTGGCTTCTCTAGATCCCAGTTCCTTCCCCTGCACATAGCAATATTTCCCAAAGGAATGGTCATATGATAAACATCCCATCCAATCTGCTTTGTTTGGCATAAAAAATGTAAAATTCATGAATCTTATGAGAAAAGGTATTCAATCATGTCATCTCCTGCTTTAAAAACCTCTCATGGTCTTCATGCTGAAAGAACAGAGAATAAACAGTGTTTGCCTGGGAGTCAAGATCCTGGGGCCTCAACCTACCTGCCTTTCTGGTTTACTCCCTCTGTCTCCAATATACAACCTATACTGGACAACTCAAGGGGTCCTCTCTACACCCCATGCTTTCCCAGGGACCCTCTGCCCTTCCCATCTGTGTCTTTTGAGCATTTATTCATCCTTCAAGGCCCACCACAAAAGGCAGCTCGTTTATGAAATCTTCCCTGATCTTTCCAACAGGAACATGACCTTTTCCACTTTTCAGTCCTACAGCTCTGTGAAACCTTCCTCTAGAGCATGGGCATTCTGCCTTGTATCCCAGCTGTCTGTCGGCTTGCCTGCACTCTGGCTGTAAACTCTCCCATGGCAGAGAGGGTGTCTTACTCCCTCACCTCTGTATCTACTGTAACACATGGTCCCTGTAACACATGTACAGAAGGATACTAGATGGATATTTACTAAAGCTATTTTATTATTCCAGAGTAATATAAGGTCAGAAAACATCTTATTATAAAGTTAGAGTGATATTAACTTTATATCATAGAAAGAATTCAGGTATTTTTTGATAATGTTTTTCCAACTTGATTTTCTTTGGCTTGCTTACCAACTCAGAACACATGGACAGCAGCTACTTAAAATGATGTCTCCCTTACCAAGTTTAAGATTTCAGCCTGTTAACTCCACAAGGGTAGAGACCACACTCATTTGATTCACTGTTGCATCCACAGTGTGTAGCTACATGTGACACAGTCTATACTCTTTAATAAAGACTGAATGCATCAGAGAGTGGACTAACTTTTATCATTCTGTAATTTCCAGCATTCTTCACATGTGAAATGTATCCACAGACATACCAACTGATTCTCTTGAATCCACTTTCCTGTCTAATAGGTGTGAGAACTTGCACACGGCCTTTTCTGTTTTACTCTCTGTGATGCCCTGTAAATGTCCCACATAGGCAGGACAAAAGACTGGCGCATTGTTTATTAGGGGAAAATAGACTGCACATACATCTGAGTACATCCTCCAAGAGGCACAAACACTTAGACTCTCACAGAACTCCAGAAACCAGGTATATCAAAAGCACTGCCTGTCCCTTATATCTTCTAGAGTCCACAGATAGATGGAGACAAAAACCGACCAAAGGTAACAATATACCATATTGTGTTAGGTAGGCACAAACTAAAATTTAGAGTTGAAAGGGTCCAGTATTTCTCAAACCAGGATCGCTGGCATCCCTTGGAGGGGGGCTTGAGGGTAACAGTGAAGCCTCTTCCTTTCAACAAACTGCTCTGCTCTTATTTATTTAGATTTGAAGAAAGCGTGCTCCCATTTTTAAATAGAAGTTTGAAAATGATAATCTGTTATGTAAAAAAGAAAAGCTAAGCACAGGCAGGGCACAGTGGCTCACACCAGCACTTTGAGAGGCCAAGGCAGGAGGATAGCTTGAGGCCAGGAGATCAAGACTAGCTTGGGCAACATAGCAAGACTCCATTTGTGCAAAAAGTTTTTTTAAAAATTGGCTGGGCATGGTGGCAAACACCTGTAGTCCTAGGAAGTCGAGGTGCTAAGGTGGGAGTATGGCTTGGGGTCCAGGAGCTATGATCATGCCATTGCACTCCAGCCTGGGCAACAGAGCAAGATTGTCTCAAATGTCCCTAATTTCCATAAATACAAATGCAGACCAGAGAGCTGTCTAGCTGACCTGGGAGTGGAATCCCAGAGTTCTAGAATTAAGTCTTTGAAGACAATCTTGATCATGGCAAGGCACGCACCTGTAAGCCACCATTTCAACTGTTCTCATTTCAGAGCAGGAACCAAAACCAGAGGTTAAGAGGTCTGCCTAATCATGAGGCAGGCTGACAGGATGGGGCTGAGACTAGGCCTTGGGGTACTGCCCTATTCTCTCTGCCACCCCGACTGCGCACGCACGCACGCACACACACACACACACACACACACACACACACTTACCTTCCTTGTACCTGGAATACCAAGTTACAACCATAGGAGTCCAGATGACAGGTTGTGTGGGCTCCCAAGGAGCCAATCCACAATGTACTTTCCTGTCCATTTCTTCCAGGAAACCCGAAGTCAGACCATTTCACATCCTGTTTTGAAATAAAGTTGCAATCCATCAAGAACTAACCAACTTCTCTGTATGGTAATGCTGCCCATTTTCACTTGTACATCTGTTATTTGGCAATTGGAATACTCTATTATGGAAAATGCTACAGATGGAAGAGGTTAGGTTTCCAGGGCAATTCAAGAAATCTTTTTAGCTAATAACATATCTGAATAACCACACTAATAGCAGTCATTCAACAAATATTTACTGACTACTTTCAACATGCCAGGCACTGTTCTGGAAGCTTGTAATGAATCAATGAACAGAGGAGACAAAATGCTCACTCAGATGAAGAAAGCATGTTCTGGGCAGTGAGAACAGTGAATGCAGTGGAAACGGCATTATTTCAAATACCTCTGAGACACAACCGAGGAAGTCAGAAAGCCATATTCCCTCTAAGCAGTGCAGATATTTGTATAAATAAGCAATTTACTAACTTCAGTGACCACATAAAAGAAGTCTTCTCCTATGTTAGCAGGGTTACTTAAAACTATTGATGCTGGAGCCTTAGCTCATATCTACTAGATCAGATTCTTCAGGTGGGTGTGTCAAATACATCTTCTGAAATACACATCCATGGATGGCTTTCAGTATACTCCCCACAGTCATGAACTTCTTTTTTTTTTTTTCTTTTTTGAGACGGAGTTTTGCTCTTGTTACCCAGGCTGGAGTGCAATGGCGCGATCTCAGCTCACCACAACCTCCGCCTCCTGGGTTCAGGCAATTCTCCTGCCTCAGCCTCCCGAGTAGCTGGGATTACAGGCACGCGCCACCATGCCCAGCTAATTTTTTGTATTTTTAGTAGAGACGGGGTTTCACGATGTTGACCAGGATGGTCTCGATCTCTTGACCTCGTGATCCACCCACCTCGGCCTCCCAAAGTGCTGGGATTACAGGCGTGAGCCACCGCGCCCGGCCCAGTCATCAACTTCTTAAGTGCAATGATCTTTAGAACAGAGAGCATGGTGCTCTGGATTTAGACTCTCCATATGCCTAGTTCTGTGGGCAGATCCTGCCCAACTCAACTACTGGGAAAAGCCTATACTTAGAAGCTGATGGCACATTTGCATCGCAGAAAAATGGGGTCACACATAAACCCAAATCCATATGATTAAACAGATTTATAAGCTAGAAGAGAAAAAGAACATACTATTGAACCAGGTGTGAAATTCTGCCTTATTTTTATTTTCATCATAAAGTTTTCCTTTCGGTTTTAAAAAACAAAACAAAACCCACTTCTACGTGCAGAACATGGTGTTCAATGCTGACACTTCTTTTATCAGCAACTGCAGTCTAAATTTTCTTTTTTTTTTTTGAGATGGAGTTTCGCTGTTGTTACCCAGGCTGGACTGCAATGGCACGATCTCGGCTCACCGCAACCTCTGCCTCCTGGGTTCAGTCAATTCTCCTGCCTCAGCCTCCTGAGTAGCTGGGATTACAGGCACACGCCACCATGCCCAGCTAATTTTTTTATTTTTTATTTTTAGTAGAGATGGGGTATCACCATGTTGACCAGGATGGTCTCGATCTCTTGACCTCGTGATCCACCCACCTCTGACAGAAGTATGCAGGGTATGCTTTAAGATCACAGCAGGAGGGACCTGCACCCAAGCAGGGAGCTTAGGGAAGGCTTCTAATTAACCTGGTCCTTGTTGAATAATTTACCACACCTCAGTCTGAAGAATTTAACTGAAGGTAGCTGAAAGCCATTCAGTATAAAAAGGAAAAAAGAGAGATATGCCTTAGCTAAGAAGAGACAGGTTATGTGATTCTTAATCTTACAGATACATCCCTTCAGGAATCTAATGAATAACAAAGCCCCTTCTCAGAAACACACACATATACAATTAATTTCATATATACTGTCGAGGAAGTAACAGACCAACCCCACATGAAAAACCCTGTTCTAGAGCCCTGCTTTGGAAAGTACTGAAGGAAGATTTTTCTACAGGGTGAGGTTACTATATCAGAAACTGAGGAGAGGCTTCCTTGACCTCCTAACAGTAATGCCTTAAAAAGCAAACCTGTCAGCCAGGTGCAGTGGCTCATGCCTGTAATCCCAGCACTCTGAGAGGCTGAGATGGGAGGACTGCTTGGGTCCAGGAGTTCAAGATCAGCCTGGCCAATGTTTGGTGAGACTCTGTCTCTACAAAAAAGTTTTTTAAAAAATTGGCTGGGCATAGGGGCATGCACCTGTGGTCCCAGCTACTCAGGAGGCTAAGGAGTGAAGATCACGTGAGCTTTGGAGGTCAAGACTGCAGTGAGCTTTGTTTGTACCACTGCACTCCAGCCTGGGTGACAGAGAAAGGCTCAAAAAACAAAACAAAACGAACAGCAAAATTGTCAATGTAAAAACAGACAGCACTGAGAGTTGAGATTATCTTCCCATTGACGTTCAGCTACTGACGGGTTGTCTGAAGTCACTGAGGGCCCAGGAATCTGTGCTGAGTTTTGCTAGAAATAGCAGCCTGTTTGGCTGCTATATCAGTAAAACCAAAAAGGGTGATCAGTGGGGTGATCTGTCTTGAAGTCTACTCACACATACTTCTAAGAGCTGGAAAAATCTTTAAAAATCATCTACTCTCAGAAAGTTCTATTCTACACCATCCCTGAAAAGAGCAACAAGGAGCTGGTTGACCACTTACTACAAAATCAGTATCTATGTCCTGGTAGCTTACAGAGGAGGGTCCTAGATCTGCTTTCTATAATTAAAGAGAATGAGTTTATTTTCTGCCAGAAATTGCTATTTTTAAGTTATCAGAAAAAACTGTCCAGCTTCTCCTTTTATTTTTTCAACCTAGACACAGCAGCATTAACTTTTCCTTCCAATTGCTCTTCTCTCAATTTCCTTTACTTTGTCAACAGCCCTAAAGCCTGGTTCCCAAACTGAACCCCAGACAGTCTACACAGAACCGGTATCCATGGAATGGTAACATTCCATCACCTGGACATCATACCATTAACGCACTGTCAGGCAGCATTTTTATTTTTAAGCAACTAAATTATACCAAGGCTAATATTGGGCCTCCCTGTCTCTTACTTGCAGACTGTTGCTTAGCATATCTCTTCAGCCTTGACGTATAGTCAAGGACTAGCCTAATATTTCCTAATTTTCCTTGTGATTTACTCTTTGGCTTATTGATTGTTTAGAAGTGTAATGTTTCATTTTAAATATTTGGGGATTTTTCAGTTATCTTTCTGTCATTCATTTTTAATTTAATTCCGTTGTGGTAAGAGAACATACTTTGTATGATTTAAGTCCTTTTTAATTGTTGAAACTTGTTTTATGACCCAGAATATAATCAATCTTGATAAATGTTCCATGTGCACTTAGAAATAATGTGTTTTCTGTTGTTGGCTGGGGTGTTTTATAAATGTCAATTAAATCAAGTTGATTGTTCAAGTCTCCTGTATCCTTACTGATTTTCTGTATTATTTGTTTTACCCATTATAGAGACACAGGTATTGAAACCCCCCTACTATAATTGTGTATTTGTCTTTTTATCACTCTAGGTTGGTCAGTTTTGTTCATGTATTTTGAAACTGTTACTGGGTTCATACACATTTGGGATTATTATGTCTGCTCGGTGAACTGATCTTTTATTGTGATGAAATGACCCTCTCTACCCAGGGTTTCCTTGTTCTGATGTCAACTTTGTCTGTCTCTTCCTTTGATGAGTGTTAGCATGAAAAAGAAGTACTTACTATATGATTCCATTTCTATGAAATTCTAGAACTGCCAAACTAACCTGCAGTCAAACAGGAAGTAGATCAGTGGTGTCTGAGAATGAGGGTGTAGGGAGAGACAGGTTATGAAGGGACACGGGGAAACATTTGGAAACGATCAAAATGTTTGTCACCTTGAATGTGGTGATGGTTTCTTGGGTGTATGTATATGTAAAAATTAATCAAATTGTTCACCTTAAATATATGCTTTTTCTGTTCATTACACAGTTATATCCCAATAAAGCTGTGTTAAAAAAAATACAATCCTACTAGTACACTTTGGTCCCACTGTCTCAACACTAGCAGCTTTGTTCACCATTGCATTGGTACCATCAGTGCAAATGTCAACACTGTGAAATAAGCAAATATCACCTTAGCAGTATTATGAAAATAATTTTGATCCCAAAGATCCTCTGAAAGGGTGTCAGGGACCCCAAGGGTCTATGGGCCACTCTGGTTTACAACTTCACAACTGTAATTACTCTATTTTTTTCTGTTCTGTCTCCTCCTCTAAGTAATTCTAAAATAGTTTCTTATGAAAATACATTTAAAGTCATACTCCAGATTAAAATTATAATACTTTAATCATGTTCACAAACATTTTATAACTTAAAATTATATAAGAATACCATTTAAGACCCTCCCAAGTATGGCTGATGCTATCTGTCTGCTCTGTGCAAGCCCCTGTCCAGTCTCCCCACTGACCTATGTTTTCTCTTACCTTCTGGCCTCTGCTCATGCCCTTTCCAATTTCTGTCTGTTAAAGTTCTGTGTTTAAGGGCCTGGCTCAGGTTCAGCCTTGGCTATGAATCCTTCTCAACTACTTGTATCATATCCATCTGTCCCCTGCCTTCCTTCCTATATGTTTTATTTGGATTGCTATTTAAATGGTAAGTGACACAGAACGTCTGTGTCTTGTTCCTTTAACAATATTGTAAGCTCTCTGGGCTATGTTTTATAACTTTTTATTCCTGCAAACTGCTAACATAGTGCTGAATACATAATAGGTATTTCAATGATTACATAAGTGTGTTTTTTCCTACTCTTACCATTTCTTCTTTTGATATTTCTCTGGTCTTTAGGACCCCTCAGAGAATGTTTAGACTTAAACGCCTGCTTCATCTTTGTCAAATTTTCTGTGGCTTCTAGTTAGTCAGATGGCCTAAAAGTATGGTTTTGACACTTAAATGACTTTTGTGTATAGAAAATAAAATTAAACATTATTTTTTAGTTATCATCATATCCTTGACTAATCCAAGTAAAGCATCTGCTATGAACATTTTGTTCTCTACTTTCCAAGAAAGGGAGCGAATTTGTGACAATACTACACAAAATTTCTTTCTCTCAGACTGATTAGGTAAGAATGACAGGTTTTACCTTTTGCAATTATCAATAAGTATCATCATAATTGAAGTTATCAACATGTAACAAAAGGGATTTTGCCTCAAGAATGCTAGCTACTCAGGTAGATTCCATTTGATATTATGATTTGAATTGGCTACTGAAAGTCAGGAGCCTTGTTAAGTCACCAGGACACAGAATCCCAAGATACAGTAGATGGAAGATAAGTTGTAACATGTCTTCGACTTTAAAACATAGCTATGAGAGCATGTTGAAATTAAGGCAGGTGATTTGGTAATGAATAATGGGGTCTGAAGGCCAGGAATGCTCTCTGATGAGACAAGTTGGAATGTAAGAATTAAGGTGTTTATCCAGCCTATTGATGGGTAGAGAGTTAATTACCTCTTTTCTGTTTATGTACCTAAGGTAATTTTTCTTTCTTTTTTTTTTTTTTTTTTTGAGACGGAGTTTCGCTTTTGTTACCCAGGCTGGAGTGCAATGGCACGATCTCGGCTCACCACAACCTCCGCCTCCTGGGTTCAGTCAATTCTCCTGTCTCAGCCTCCTGAGTAGCTGGGATTACAGGCATGCGCCACCATGCCTAGCTAATTTTTTGTATTTTTAGTAGAGACGGGGTTTCACCATGTTGACCAGGATGGTCTCGATCTCTTGACCTCGTGATCCACCTGCCTTGGCCTCCCAAAGACCTAAGGTAATTTTTCTAAGGAAAAAGAGACTCAGACAATTGCTAATGTATAATGTCCATTTAAGGGGCTGTTTGAAATTTGAATTTAAGTATTTATCCTTCATAATTTTTGTATAGTAATTATAGTTAATTATATTATTTTTAAAGTTGCATTTTTGGCCGGGCACGGTGGCTCATGCCTGTAATCCTAGCACTTTAGGAGGCCAAGGCAGGCAGATACTGGAGTTCAGGAGTTCAAGACCAGTCTGGCCAACATGGTGAAACCCCACCTCTACTAAAAATCCAAAATTTAGCCGGGTGTGGTGGTGCATGCCTATAATCCCAGCTACTCAGGAAGCTGAGGCAGGAGAATTGCTTGAACCCAGGAAATGGAGGTTGTAGTAAGCCAACATCATGTGACAGCACTCCAGCCTAGGTGACGGAGTCAGACTCTGTCTCAAGATAAAAAAAAGAAATATATGATCCAGAGCTTACTAATACTTTAAAGGTTTTTCTGATAAGAACAGTGATATTAACAAATGTGACTTTTTGAATAATGAAATGTATCACCCCACCTCTACTAAAAATCCAAAATTTAGCCGGGTGTGGTGGTGCATGCCTATAATCCCAGCTACTCAGGAAGCTGAGGCAGGAGAATTGCTTGAACCCAGGAAATGGAGGTTATAGTAAGCCAACATCATGTGACAGCACTCCAGCCTAGGTGACGGAGTCAGACTCTGTCTCAAGATAAAAAAAAGAAATATATGATCCAGAGCTTACTAATACTTTAAAGGTTTTTCTGATAAGAACAGTGATATTAACAAATGTGACTTTTTGAATAATGAAATGTATCAAGTATACTCAAAATGTGTCTACATTTGGAAGATCTACATAATTCAGTAAACCAATATTTTCCAAATGATCCATGAATAACATTACATAAGATCCATTCTGTGCAAGACAGACCAATGGATTTATAATAAGAGTACAGAGGTCATTCACTACAGGTTCAGATTTTATATTGCAACTAATGAACCTTTAAGAAACTACCCCTTATCAAGTTTGGTATGGTATAAAAAAATCCACAATTATCTGAAAAGGCTGTTATTGATAAACACTCTTCCCCTTTTCAGTTTCATATGTGTGAGAGGCAAAGTTTTCTTCATATACTTCAAACAAACCAACAAATTGCAACAGCTTGAATGGAGAAGCAGAGAATCCAGCTGTCTTCTTACAGCCAGACATCAAGAAGACATACCCTAATGTACAACAATCCATCCCTCTGATGACATTAAAAAATTGTGAATAAGTTATTTTCTTAAAAATATTATATATGTTAACATACAGTAGGTCGTGTCATTTTAAATTAATAAAAATTTTTACAATGTACATATTTCAATGTTTACCTACCCACCATTTTATGACAGATATAAGAAAGCTTGAAACAGCAAGTAATAAGACTTGGTGACTGAATGAATTAAACCGATATAGGTACCTGTGATGTAAGAAGACTTGGTGCCCGGAAAATTTTGAGACAAAAGATGACATAATCTTTTTTTTTTTTTTTTGAGACGAAGTTTCACTGTTGTTACCCAGACTGGAGTGCAATGGCATGATCTCGGCTCACTGCAACCTCCGCCTCCTGGATTCAGGCAATTCTCCTGCCTCAGCCTCCCAAGTAGCTGGGACTACAGGCATGCACCACCATGCCCAGCTAATTTTTGTATTTTTAGTAGAGACAGGGTTTCACCTTGTTGACCAGGATGGTCTCGATCTCTTGACCTCGTGATCCACCCACCTCGGCCTCCCAAAGTGCTGGGATTACAGGCGTGAGCCACTGCGCCCGGCCAAGGTGACATAATCTTAATGGACTTGGTTATTCATAGCAGAATTAACTGCCATGATGTAAGCTGACAGAAAATGCATTCAACCAAAAAATCAGATTTTATAAGGGCTCAGTTAGAATTCCAACACATTGGCAAACACTACCTTTCATATCCGCACTTAATGGACAGGTCACACACCTGCATAGTGCTGCCTTGCCTGGGATGGGACAGAACTACTGAAGGGGTCAGAGCAGAGACTCATCCAAGGCAGAGTGAGCTTAGACACAGAACAGAGAGTACCAATAGGGCTGAATGTATGCAGACCCTCTGTAGGCACAGCAGCAATTGAGGCTCTGGAAGTAGTTAAAGCTCTGAAGGCAGACTATTTGGGTTACCCCTTCCAAGTTGTACAATCTTAGAAAAGGTTTACTTAACCTCTTTGGGTCTCATTTTTCTTAAAATGGGAATAATTATTAAATCACAGAGTTACTTTGAGGTTATAAAAGTAAAGCATTAGAAAAGATCCCCCCAAAAAGTAAGTACTTGATCAATGTTACTACTAAGCAATATTTTACCTGAAATCTGGAGTAAAGTACTAGTCTAATTTACAGAGTGGCAGGAGGTGGGTATGAGAAATAGAACAAAAACACTTTTAAAGTTAATTAGGAAGTCTGTAAGTTCCATAATTAAAGAACCATAAAGTGATCACAATTAAGGTTGTAAGAAAAACATCTACCTTAAAATTATCATTTAAAAACTGAGTAAATAGTAGATTTGGTATTGACTTTGGATTCAGAGGCATTTACTGAACGTTTTAAAAATCTATGCATTTCTTTCATGCTTATGAGAATGAAAATACATTCTCAACTAACAACTATGAGAGGTTGGGCTTGTTGGCTCATGCCTATAATCTCAGCACTTTGGGAGGCCGAGGCAGGTGGATCACTTGAGGTTGGGCATTCGAGACCAGATTGGCCAACATGGTGAAACTCTGTTTCTACAAAAAAAAAATACAAAAATGAACTGGACATAGAGGCAGGTGGGGTCAGGGGGTGGGTGGTGGCTGTGGCAGGAGAATTGCTTAAACCTTGGAGGCAGAGGTTGCAGTGATTCAAAATAGCACCACTGCATTCCAGCCTGGGTGACAGTGAGACTCCATCTCAAAACAACAACAACAAACGACTATGGGGCAAGGTAACACATTTTTCTTTTTTTATAAAAAAGCAAAATTAAGCCAGGAGCAGTGGCACGTTCCTATACTTCCAGCAACTCGGGAGGCTAAGATGAGAGGATCTATTATAATAACTATGTTAACATCTGCATTTATATCTAGGCTCAACATGAAAAAGAAAAATATACACTGAATGGAAAATTACTAAGGAGCCAAAGAACTATTAGCCTATGTGAAAGGAAAGTCCGGAGAGTGGATGGTGGCAGAGAAGAGAAGGGGTGAAATACTTCTCTCCACAAAGGAGGGGCAGGAAGAAAGACTCGGGAGCCTTGGCCTGAGTTGGGGCAAGGCCGAATCCTCCAAACAGCTTACTGGATGGCTCCCATTCCTGCCCCACACCTAAGACACACAAGGAAACAAGAGCGGAGAGTTTACAAAATTATCTCACAAAATAAACTGCCAGTTTAAGGTAGAAAACACTTAAAAGAAAAGAGGATATAGTAGTCTGGAAACTCTGTTGTCAGTTATGTCAACATACAGCAAAGAACTTCCATAATCTTACTTCTGCAAGTCACTCCCACACTTCTACAGGGCTGTACCACCAACTACTGGGAGCCATGTGTTCTCTGGGTCAGGCTACAAACTGCCAGAGAAAACAGTTGTCCTAAACCTCCAGAGCAGATAGAAGTTGCAGCAGCAGACTCGTCATGCACAGCCCAAGGAATGCTTCTTCATAGAATCAGCTTTATGCTTTCAGCTGCCTCACTGAGGTGGGACAAGAACTTATATGGCGGTCAGGAGGCAATGAAGTTTTATACACAATCTATGTTTCTAATATACTCCAAACTGACTCAAGCACTGTTTAAAAGCAAAGGAGGGTGTGTAGGAAGTTTGGGAGTAGGAAAACAAGGAAGCCTGCTCATCTGTGTGAGCCAAATGGTACACTTCTCTTGAGCAAATCTTTTGGTTTGAGTGGGTAAAATACTCAAGACTCATGGTGACTACTTATGAGAGAAAAAGGCAGAGAAAGGCGCCAGGGAGATTCTGATTTGTGATCTTTTCTCAAAAACAAATTCCTATCAAGATTTTAAAAAAGGTATTGACTTACCTGGAAAATATCTGTCTTATCTTCAAATAGACTGAGAAAATATTTATAGTCAGCATAAGCCCAGAACTTGGAATGATCATAATCTCTAAATGGTCCAGAAATACTAGACTGGTCACAGTTCCAGGTCAGAAACTCTTCAAGTGTAGCTTCTACGTAACTACATGTAGTTTCAAATTGAGGAACTGCAATGTAAGAGAATGCAACTTTAAATGTATAATGAATACATTTCCTAATTATTATTTTTTTTAAATAAAAATAATTTCAACCAAAAAGTTAACTTTTAAGACTAATTAAGGCTGCCGCAGTGGCTCACACCAGTAATCCCAGCACTTTGCAAGGCTGAGGTGGGAGGACTGCTTGAGCCCCAAGAGTTTGAGATCAGCCTGAACAACACGGTGAAACTTTGTCTGTACAAAAAATACAAAAAAATTAGCTGGGTGTGGTAGCATATGCCTGTAGTTTCAGCTACTCGGGAGGCTGAGGCAGGAGGATCACTTGAGCCCTGGAGGTTGAAGCTGTGGTGAGTAGAGATTGTGCCACCACACTTCAGCCTGGGTAACACAGTGAGATCCTGTCTCAAAACAAACAAACAAACAAAATCCAAAAACCAAACAAAAAATGATCAACATCATCAAAAATGTACCATAACAGCACAGAAGTACATAAAGTTTAATTCTGACAAAGTGCTTGTGGCAAGAAAAGCTGCATGACTGTGGGAAATGGGAGTCATTTCTAAATGATTTAAGTAACTCCACCATAAGCCTAAACATATTATAATGTCTTAGGAGTTTTCACTTCCTAGAATTCAATCCAACTGAATACTAAAGCCATTAAATGAGCTACTTGCCCCCTGGGGTGGACTGAACAGGACTTTGCTGTTGAGGCCATTTATCTTACGCAAGCCTGATTTGCAGCCCTAGAACCTGGCCTCATTAGAAGGCTTCAATTTCTGTTATAGTAAGCTCTGTACTTAAAAAATGTAAATCTAAAAATATAAAAATACATATTAGAACTGTTACTGTCAGGAGAAAATTACCATGAATGGAATGAATGGAAATGACGCTCTTTTCATTTCCATAATGATCAAAACAGAATTTTCTCACTCTTTCCTCGTAGTAGCGTCCTTAAAGGTACTGTTCTGATTTTGTTATAATGCAATTTCCTTCTGGGTAGTATAGTTGTTTTTCTTAGTTTCCCTTATGCAATAGAATTATTCCTTTCTAATTTTACCATGACTATTTTTTCATTTCATGTTGAAGTAGTTTAGGTAACTATCACTTTCATCCTACTTACTGGAAAGTGTTAGGTAAGAAGCTCAACCCAGGTCGGGATTTGGCAGCAGTGAACAAACTGAGCTTGCTTTTAATTATTATAAAATGGGTCTAAAATAGTTTTTATACGACAGGATAACAACTATTTTTCCATTTCGTTAAACCTTCATCATTTTACAAATAAGAAATAATGCACGGTGCCTGAGCTCTAGACATGTCTTTTGATCACGCTATCCGCTCTACTTTCAGATGTTCAGGGTTATTTCTACAACTGCTTGCCAAATTTACTGCCAACTGAGATACAAAACTACCACTGAGCACGTATCTTGGCAAACAAATCTGATCCAAAATGCTATGTGATGTTCTCTATCTGCTTCCTAAAATAAACTAAGGAACACACGATATTAAAAAATGCCAATTATTAACACTTCTATTTCAAGTATTCTAGATAAACTCCAACCAAGACCTAAAATGGAAATAAGAAATATACTCAACAGAGAGGAAACAAAGTTATCCTTACTTTTAAAATCATATGCCTATCTAACTAAAAAACCACAAAAACAACAAAGAACTACCTAGGCTAATAAGTGGGTATACACAATAAAAACACACAGAAACATAGGGCTTTCATTTATGATCAATCACAACCAGTTAGAAAACTGTAATAGGCAAAAATATTTCCTTCATAACAGCTATACCAAATTTACAATATTTTAAGGAATCTACAGACCTATATGAAAACTCTGTCGCCCAGGCTGGAGGGCAGTAGTGTGCTCAGAGCCTTGAACTGCTGGGCTTAAGCAATCCTCTTGCCTCAGCTTCCTGAGTAGCTAAGACTACATGTGTGCACCATCACACCTGACTAATTTTAAGATTTTTTTTTTGTAGAGACAGGGTCTTGCTATGTTGCCCAGGCTATTCTGGAACTCCCAGCCTCAAGTGATCCTTCTGTCTAGGCCTCCTATAGTGCTGAGATTATGGTGTGAGTCACAGTGCCATGTCGCCATCTTCATAATATATAAAGAATTCAAAAACTTTTTTAAACCCTAAAATCCTAATAAGGAAATAGTCAAAGAACAATTATCAGGAAAAAATACGAATTACTAATAAATGGGAACATATATTCAACATCACCAGCAATCAAATAAATGTAGTGTTTTTTGTTTTGTTGTGTTTTTTTGAGACAGAGTCTCATTCTGTGGCCCAGGCTGGAGTGCAGTGACACGATCTTGGCTCACTGCAACCTCCACCTCCTGGGTTCAAGTGATTCTCATGACTCCCAAGTAGCTGGGATTACAGGTATGCACCACCATGCCCAGTGAATTTTTTGTATTTTTAGTAGAGATGGAGTTTCACCATGTGCCCAGGCTGGTCTCGAACTCCTAAGTTCAGGTAATCCTCCCGCTTTGGCCTCCCAAAGTGCTAGGATTACAGGGATGGGCCACTGAGCCCAGCCAAATAAATGATAATTAAAATAATGAGATAATATTTTTCACATAACAGGGCCTTGCTCTGTCTCCCAGGCTTGATGCAGGATGATCATGGCTCACTGCAGCCTCAACCTCCCAGGCTCAGGTGATCCTCCCATCTCAACCTCCCAGGTAGTTGGGACAAGAGGTGCACACCTCCATGCCCAGGTAATTTGTTTGTACTTTTTGTAGAGACACGGTTTTGCTATGTTGCCCAGGCTCATCTTGAACTCCCGGGCTCAAGCAATTCTCCTGCCCCAGCCTCCCAAAGTGCTGAGATTACAGGCAAGAGCCACCACACTCGGCTTGAAAGATTTTTTAAGATAAATTCTAGTTTTGTCCAAAGAATAGCAAAACAGAAACCCTTACATGTTCTGAAAAGAATATAAATGGAAATCACCTTCCTGCAAAGCCCTTAGCCATATGTTTCAAAGCCTTTTCATTCTTTCACTTCACAAATATCTGAATGTCCATTAAGTGCTCAGCCCATGATGAGATATGGCCCTTGCCCTCAAAGAAGTTATCTTCTTGAGTAGAAGAGACTTTAAACAGGTAATAACACAAGCATGTGATTACAACTGTGCTAAGCGTTACTAAGAAATACAAAGTGTTCTGAGGTAATTGAAGGGTCACACCTGACATGGGGTATGGAGAAGGATAGATCTGGTCAGGAAAAATGACATTTAAGCTAAGATCTGACAGAAGGAGATGAATTAATTAGATAAAACTGGGGGAAAGGGAAGTGAGAAAAGAGAGGCTAGACACAGGGAACAACATACACATGCAAAGGCCCTGAAGTAGGAAGAAACAAAGTCCTGGAAATGCAGAAAGTGAAAAATGCTTGTCTGGCCTGAGCTCAGAGAGAGAAATGATGCTGGGCCTTCCCCACCACAACAGACATTATAGTTTTCAGTCTAAGGGTAATGGGAAGCCATTTAAGGGTTTTAAGCAGATAAATAAGATTAGATTTGTTTTTCTAAAAGGTGTCTCTGGCTTCACTATGAGAAGTGGTGTGGGAAGGGAGGGCAAGGGGTGCAGAGACTAGGATGAGGCCAAGCAACTATGGAGATGAGAGCGATCAGGGTAATGCCCACTAGAGGATGGCTGTGGAGACAGACAGAAGCAGGCACATGCTAGATATTTAGGATGTACGTCACTGAGTCATAAGACACCACTTAAGACAGTCAATCAAAATGACTCAGAGGTTCTACTGTAAGGAGTTTCACAGGTACTGCTGCTACTGATGGTAATGCCCATATCCTTTGACCCAGTAACTCTCCTTCTATGACTCAATTCTAAAAAAGTAATCAGAAACTCTGACAAAATTTGTTTGCAAAGATGTTCACTACTGTCTTTTTAAAATTTTAAACTCATAAGCAACCTAAATTATCAAAATTTTAAAATAAATTATGATACTAGTGACAATGATATATTAGGTGGCCATTGAAAAGTCACACAATCTCAAGAGAAGCTGCTCAGAGTAAGTTAAAAGGACGAAAAAGCAAGCTGTGAAAATTAATATAACTTTATTTTTAAAATAAGAAGGCCTACATGGCCATACCTCAAAATATAACTAGTGATTATCTTTGGGTAGTGGGACATTTGCAAGTCATATACTTAATAAATGTAGTATCTAGCATATATAAAGACTCTTACAGCTCAATAATAAAAAGACAAAAACAATTAGAAAGCAAAGGATCCCAATAGGCATTTTTCCAAAGAAGATACACAAATAGCCAATACGCACAAAAAAAGATGCTCGACATTATTAGTCATTAGGAAAACACAAATCAAAACTATAATAATACTTCCCATACACTAGAATAGGTATAATTTTTTAAGTGGAATGTTGTCAAGGATGTGGAACAAACTGGAACTCTCATACATTAAAGGTGAGAATATAAAATGGTGCAGTTGCTTTGGAAAACAGTTTCTCAAAATATTAAACACAGAATTACTGTATGAGCCAGCAATTCTACTCCAAGAGAAATGAAAATATACGTCCACACAAAAAACTGTATATGAATGCTCATAGTAGCATTATTTGTAATAGCCAAAAAATGGAGCAACTCAAATGTCCATCAACTGATGAAAAGATAAATAAAATGTAAATATTCATACAACAGAATATTATTTGGCAATAAAAAGAAGTATTGATACATATTACAACATGGATGAACCTTGAAAACACACTAAATGAAAGAAGCCAGGCACAAAGGGGCCAATACAGAATGATTCCACCCATATGATATATCCTAAATAGTCAAATTCCATAAACAGAGAAAGTAAATCAGTGATTGCCAAGGCCTGGGGTAAGGCAGAATGGAAAATGATGGCTTATGGGGTACTGGGCTTCTTTATAGGGTAATAATATTCTAGAATTAGATAGTGGTGATGGTTATACAATATTGTGAATATACTAACAACCAATGAATTTTAATTGGCTAAAATGCTAAATTTTATGTTATATGGATTTTATTTAATAAAAAAGAACATTATCTTTACTAAAAGCTCAGAGTCATTTCTCATAACCTGAGAGTTATTTTCCTTTTTTGTGTGCTGAAGTATTAACTTAAAAATGTCAAATTACTGTGTCTCATCTATAAGATAGGATAATAGCATCACTGTCCTAAGGTTTCAGGAAGATTAAGAAAGCTAATACTGTATGTGTAAAGTATTCACAACGGTGCCTGAAACAAGAGCTTTAAATAAATGTTAGCTATTAGTAGTATTGTATTCGGAGTCTAACGAGAATGTGAAAAAATTACTATTTCTATTTTTCTCCAAATTAGTGTCTAACAAACACTTAAATGAGAGGCAGATTTCTTTGACTAAAGTTAAAAAGGAAAAGGCACAATTCTATTTTTACATTATTGCTGCTGGTCTAAGATTGAATTTTAAACAGTTTGGTCTCTGATTATAATGAGATGACAAAGAGTTCCAAGTATATTCAACATGCTACACCTGTCACAGGAGTACAAAGGGGTTCCAGACACCAGAAATTAAATAATTCTGTGACCTATACTACAAGGTCAAAATGAGAGAAGGCAGCTTGGAGCTGCAGGAAGGGAAGCTGGGGACTTTTCTAGTTTTCCAATAGCTATTAACAAGCCACTTTACCTCAATGCTTAAAAAACTGAAATTCTAGACTACTAAACAACCATATTGAAATAAAAGTTAAGCACAAGAAAATGATTATAGACTCTCTTAGATTAGAAACAGTAGTTTTAGAGTTAGTGACAAATTAAGTGAATTTTAGAGTTACTGTTAATTGCTTTACCTGACAATAGGGCAAACAAATCAAAATATTATATCTTCAGAAAAGAAGAGGCAAAAATCTATTTGCTTAAGAGAATAAAAGAGCAAGCTTTACATGTGTTTCATGTTTGTGCAATGCAAAACCGGTCAGACCATCAACAAGGTAGAGGGATAATATTACAACCAAGTAATTATACAACTATAAATAGTGCCTGAAGCCACAAATAAAAGGACACATTCTGTATGAGTAAAAAGTGGATGGGACTTTTAGATTAGTATTGGTCTAATAGGAACATAAATAAGAGCACAGTAACACATTTATTAAGTGTCTAACATTTAGTGAACCACAATAATGTCTAGCAATGTACATATGAGATACATGAAAAAACACATTTTGTATAGGGTTATAAACTATAGACTGTTTTGTCTTAAAACCATACAAAATGACAAACAATTAAGCCAAATTGTTCACTTAAGCCAAACTGTTTTTCCAAACCTCCCAATAAAATTTTCCTATCTATACAGTGAATGGTCAAAAAAAGGATTAGAAAGGATTCTCTAGAAATAAGGAGGCTGCTGCTGAGAATGTAGGGAAGCTCCCAAAGAGACCTTATGATGGTTATTACCTCTAGTCCTACCTGTGCTGGTGCTTTTCATCCCCATTCTGAATCGTATCTGTTTGCCATGAAGGACCTCTGAAAGGTATTCAGCATTCCAGTGTCGTGCTGGCCAATCAAACACCATGTTACAGAAGATGGCAGGTTGTTGTAAAGACATGATAATTTCTTTTGCTTTCTCTGGTGTAAAAGGTTTGGCATGCTCACCTAAAAAGAGATATGACAGCACTATATTTAAACCTATGGATGGAAATATTCCCCATTCTTGGTTACGCTGTAGTGCAAAAGAATTCCTGGCTCTCTGCTGCACAGCTGACTTGTGCCATTCTGCTGTCGCTGTATGGAGTTAAGGAACATGACAAAAAAAAAAAAAAAAGAAAGAAAGAGAAATGAATAAAGCAACAGATAGAAAACTATAAAGTTGTTTCATACAATAGGAAGAAAAAATAGTTAATACTGTTTTTATCGTGGCAAATAGTTCTCTGCAATTACAATGATGTAAACGTCATTTACCGCTGTTTATATACACATGGCCTCAAATGACCTAATTCTTTTTTCTTTCTTTTTTTTAGATCCAGGAGTACATGTGCAGGTTTGTTCCATGGGTATATTGTGTGATGCCAAGGATTGGGTTTCTACTGAACCTATCACCCCAAGAGTGAGCACAGTACCCAAAAGGTAGTTTTTCAATCTTTGCTCCTCTCCCTCACTCCCCTCTTTTGGAGTTCCCAGTGTTTATTGTTCCCATCTTTACATCTGTATGTATTTGATATTTAGCTCCTACTTGTAAGTTAGAACATGTGGCATTTGGTTTTCTGTTTCTATATTAATTAACTTAGGATAATGGCTTTCATCTGCATCCATGTTGCTGCAAGGAAAATAATTTCATTCTTTTTTATGGCTTCATAGTATTTCATGGCATATATATACACCATATTTTCTTTATCCAATTAACCATTAGTGGGCACCTAGGCGGATTTCACTTCTTTGCTCTTGAGAATAATGCTGTGATAAACACAGGAGTGCAGGTGAAAAGACCTAATTCTTAAAATGATTTTTCTCATACTGCATTTTAAGTATTTAAATGTTGGTAAATATTTACAATATTCAATGTCAAAAAATAAAACTTTAGCATTAAAAAGCCTTTCCAACTACATATTTAAATTTTAAAAGATGCGATTTTTTTGGAAAATGCTATTTCCTGAGTAGAGGATTATATAAGAAATGCTGATGGGAACTACTCTAGAACAACTAGAGCTGCTGGAGTCAGCAACAATTCTACTTGTTATATCATAGGTTAATGCCAGAAAGACCACTGAGTCAATATAGCAGCCAACCTGAGAGGGGAGAGATTATTTTTATTGCAATTTTAAAAGGATAAAAGATGTACTTAGATGGTAATCAATACTAATCCTTGGTCTCAACTGCATCTACAAACAGTACAGAAGATCTGTACAAACCAACACTGTAACTTGCTATTCAAATAAATTCACAGAGTAATAAAATATTAATCTTGGATAGGATAGTAAAGATGAGTATTTTTTGAATAAAAGAACAAACAAGTTTCTCTTTTAAAGACATCTTAAGATGACAAGCTTTTTGGAAGGCTTATAAAATGCTTTATACTCTCTGACCCTCAAAACATATACTTATGATTCTCAAGAACAATCAGCTAACCCTCTATTTTAGTTACTTAATCTATAATTACACTTAATTCAAAAAATTAAGAAAAATTCATAATCCAAATTCCTCTCTCACTCAACCTGCTTCTCTATGATAAAAGAAAGAGGGATAGGGAAGGATTCATCAAAGAACCTGAGTAATTTGTGTTTGTCTAAATGTAAGGCTTGTTTTTAAAGAAACTGAAAACTTAAATCAGTTTAGCCTCCTTTCTCAGACAAGGACAAAAACTTGGAATCCCTTCTTAAGCCCTCAGTGAAAGTCAGCAGGCTTTAAGCCCTTGGCAGCTGACATTTGAGAACAATCTCTTACCTTCTCTACACAGTCATCATCCTAAATGAGGAGGTCAGTGTGGATGCTTAGAGGGGAAGGGCAGAAGAGTCAGGGAATGTATGGAGTGAGGAAGAGAAGGCACCCTTGGCCTCACTGAAAAGCAGCCCCTGGTTTATCTTTAGGTGACCTTAACGTGGTAAAGAGCCTTGTAAAGGATAACATTATGTGACCAAGAATACAATTTTCTGTTTTTCTCTGAAATAGCTGCTTTTTGTTGTGTTTTTCACTTTGGACATGTACAATAACTTTACATTCAAGGTCTTCATTCCATACCGGCCTAGAAATCTAAGTACAAGGTTACATATATTGCAGTGCGCCAAATCTTTCTGGACTGGGTGTGTCTGGATTCTGCATGCATGAAAATGAACAGCCACATTTTTTTATTGTGTGTTTTTAAAGTTTCACTGTAGACTACTTATAGGGAAGGTCAAATTTCTTCTCCACCCTCTTACAGCCTATACTCTAGCTGAGACAGACATAAAACAGATTAACTGGAGAAAAGCATACAAATATTATTCAGTAATTTTTACATGTACATGGGAGCCCTCACAAAAAAAATGAAGACTGAAAGAAGCAGTTAGAGCTTAACATTTATATAGTAGGTTGACAAAGAGTATTAAATTTTGAAAATGCGACAAGACAAGGAAGTTGGGAGGATGCAATTAATTGTGGAAAAGTGACTGGAAAGATAAGGGTTAAACAAGGTTTGTTTGTACAGATTTATCTCGGCCTTTATTACTTACCCATCTTTGGTTATAAGAATGTTTTCTTTTTCATGGTACAGGGAGGGCAACTTTCACATGGAAGTTTTACCTTCTGCTTTTGGGAAGAAAAAGGAAGCTCAAAATGACCTTCTTGCATCTGCTGTTTTTCAATGCCTTTTTTTTTTTTTTTTTTTTTTTTGAGACAGAATCTCGTTCTGTTGCCAGGCTGGAGTGCAGTGGCACAATCTCAGTTCACTGCAACTTCCACCTCCCAGGTTCAAGTGATGCTCCTGCCTCAGCCTCCTGAGTAGCTGAGGCACGTGCTACCACAATCAGCTAATTTTTCTATTTTTAGTAGAGATGGGGTTTCACCATGTTGGCCAGGATTGTCTTGATCACTTGACCTTGTGATCCGCCTGTCTCAGCCTCCCAAAGTGCTGGGATTACAGGCATGAGCCACCACGCCCAGCCTTTTCAATTCCTTTTACCCAAAATAATCAATATGCCAAAGTGGCATATTTGGGGCTGGCATATTCTGATCCCTACACTATGAAAAGCTATAACATATTCATGATAAATAGTATTCTGTTGTTCATGGCATATAAATTGGAATCATCATTTGGGAAACAACTGGGAAAATGAAAGAACTGTCCATTATCCCAGTAACTCATGTTAAAGGAATTTACTGTAACAAATAATGAATCATAAGCTACGTATAGCATACACAAACACATACACAAATGTCTACTACCGCATTATAACAACAAAAAATGTAAACAACCTACTGCCCTAAAGCAGAAAAATATTTATTAAATTATGACAAGGCAATCCATAGTATGCTAGTATACTATATCCACTAAAAATGAGAGCTGTCTAGAAATACGTAGAGATGTGAGATGGGAAGGGAGAGTTGGACCTGAAGTTGACTCAGAGAGCTATTATAATAGCCAAGCAATAAGTATGATACAGGCCTGAACAACAGGAGTGGCAGTGAGTAGTCAGAGATGGTAAAGATGAAGAAATACTAAGAGAATAATATCAAAGACTATTACAACCGGAGATGTGGGGTGGGAGTCAGATGCAGCCAAAAGATTGAGGTTGTCTAGACTTGGTGACTTGCCATAAGAGAAAAGTCAGGAGCATAGATCATTGTGTGGGAGGATGAGTAGCCTGATTTTGAACACAGGCATCAAACAATACTATACATTTAAGTATTGAATGCTTCACTGTTTACAAGGCACTTTCACATACATTAAGTGTTCATCTGATCTTATAAGAAGCCTGTAAAACAGGCAGAGACCGTAATTCATTTCTATTAACCAAAGGAATAAATGGAAGCTTAGATGTCAGAGGAACCAAAACTAGATATATCAGGTCCCCTCAGTCCAAGCCCAGTGATCTTTCCACTGCACAATCCTATTTCTAGAGAACTGACTGTAAGACTTAACTAGGGCTAAAAACTCAGGAGAAAGAATACAACCTGAAAGGATACACAGAAAAGCTCAAAATCTATTCATAGATAACATTCACATGTGCTTTGGGGAGAAAGGAATGTTTTGAGGACTGCATGAGTGTGTGTGCACATGTACACATGGTAGAGAGTGCTAGCTGCCTGTGACAAAGACTCTTTGCTTGGCCAAACTGTAGTCAGGCTTTATATGTTCTGCTAGGTCCATCTATGCACTTCCTTGTAAAACCTAGTTTTAGGAAAGAACCCTGCTGAGTCAGTTCAGCAAGAATTGCCCCCATCCCTGATATCTGATCAGGTTCTTCATCCTCAACCAACTTCCAGATGATATCTGATCACCTTGGCCTCTCTTCAGCAAGAATCCTGTTAGGTTGGTTTAGCCACATTTCCCCTTACCCCTGATGTCTACTCTTAGTGATTTCCCATCCACTGTCTCTGTTCCTTGGCTGTAAATTCTCACTTGCCCATGCTGTCTTTGGACTTGAGCCCAATCTCTCCCCAACTTCGAAACCCCGTTACAGTAGTCCTTATGTTGTGACGGTTCTGAATAGTCTTCCTCACCATGCCTTAACAAGTATCACTGACTATTTTTTTCTTTAACTTCTACTCACTCAATATTCATTCTCTTCTTCCTTGCTAAAAGAACTTTGGGCAACAGGAGTGGCTGAAACATTGTATTTCTCAGTCTTCTTTGCAGATAGGAGTAGCCAGATATATATATATATATCTGGAATATAATTTCTGTGTGTGTGGGTGTGTACACATACAGAAGTTGTGAGTCAGTCTTTTTGCCCTCATGTTTTTCCATATACTGCCTGGAAAGCAGACATAATGGTTAGCCACATTCAGAGACAAAAGAAAGGTCCAGGAAATCGCAAACCTTAACCAAAAGAATGCAAATATGTTCTTCTTTGTGCTACTGAACTAACTACTACCTCCTGAACTTTTACAATAAAAAATCCTTTCTAGACAAGACTGTTATTAATTCACAGCAGGTATAACACCTTGCTTTCAGAGGCTGT